GGTAGCATGGAGGCCAGAGTAGGGCATTAAAGCAAAGCTAATTTTAAACCTGCATGTGCAGATTAGTTGAAAATGCAACTGCCAGCCTCTTCTATCCATTAGACAGGCAAAGAGGGTGGTACATGCACTTTCAATCTTAGATAGTATATAGAAGAGATCTAACATCTATTTAATGTCCATACTGTAAATATAGGGTTTAATTACTGACTGGGATATATTCCATAACTTTTTCATCCAAACCCCTGGGACAGGAAAAATACTTCTGTGATTTGTATATAAATCTAACTGTGATTTGTATCACTTTTATCCTCAAAAACTGGTTCTGTCTTCTTTTGTAACCTTTTTTTTCATAACTTTATTAATGTGCACAACATAATTAATAATTAGTATATACTGGCAAAAAAATAGTGAGACATTGTGACAATTTGGCATAGTGTGACTCACTATTTTGTTACCTGATTGAGTCAACTTTTGAAGGATTTTGAACAACATTGCTACAAGACGTTATCCAGTATCTGAACCACTAGATTAGTTGACAAATCTATTATTCATGGAATCCTGTTGAAACAGTGCATGTGTGTTGAGTATCTTTTTCCAGGAGGGACAAACCATGACTGGTCAGACCCAGGAGTGGGATTGATGAGCGTGCAGTGAACCCTCAAAATCACTCAAGTGGTGTCCCACAAGGGGAACGCAAAGAGTGAAAGGACTCAAAGAACTTGTAGTCTCCGGAAATGGGGATTGCAAGGAGTGTAAGAAATACTACATCACTCTCAACAACATTAATAAAAAGCCTGAGGTTTTAATAACAGACTTTATCCAGGAGCTATACTATTTTACCAAGTTAGAAATGTATAATGACAAACTGACAATTACTTTGTATATATGGATCTTTGAGTGATCCAAGAATACAAGATACAGTATATGTATATAAGGATCTATCCATGTACCAGTTGGATACTCTTTTTTTCTTAAAGTATTTTAAATATTATTAATAAACTGAGAATTTGGATTTTTGTTGACATCTATTCCGGAGTGTACTGTGAACAGAGGTTTGCTGCAATGTAGCATTAATTAGGATTATTTTTATTTCTTATTTAAAGTGACACTAAACTCAGTTAAATCTTAAAAATGCATGTAAGTAATTTAAAGTGACATTAAACCCTCAGATTGTTTAACATAAAACAATACTGTAATGTTTGCCTTACTGTAATCCATGGTTGTTTCCCTTCTCTTTGATGCTCTTCCTTTTAAATATGTATCTGTTCTCATGCTTGGAGAGAACTTCCCTTTTCAGCAGACTGCCTTGTCTCACACGGTGCCTGTGTATAGGCTGTAACCTGAGCCAGCACTACAGGAAGAGGCCCTGAGCTGAAAAGGGAAGTTCTCCCCCAGCATGAGAACAGATACACATTTAAAAGGAAGAGCAGCAAAGAGAAGGGAAACAACCATGGATTACAGTAAGGCACACATTACAGTATTGTTTTATGTTAAAAAAATCTGAGGGTTTAATGTCACTTTAACTATTAACAAAAATGTATCTTATTTGTGTATCACTCAGCTGTAGATCCTCAAATCACCTCTGAATTCATGCTGACACTGTCCTTCCTTCTGGAGGGTGGCTACTTTTGTTCCCCATGGTCCCTGTGTGTGTTGTAAATTAGACGGACTACAATCTCAATAGTAAACTAAACATGAGATTGTAGTCCATCACAGGAGTGAGCTTGGAGTGATGGCTACTTTACAACACACACGCAGGGACCATGGGGAAAAAAACGTAGCCACCTTCCAGAAGGAAGGACAGTGTCAGGATGAATTCAGAGATGATTTGAGAATCTACAGCCGAGCGATACATAAATAAAATACATTTTTGTTAATAGTTAAATTACTTACTTGTATTTTTAAGATTTAACTGCTGAGTTTAGTGTCACTTTAAGAAACTGCCAGGTACTTTAGATCTCCTGACATCTACCCACAACTGAAACATCAGTTGAAATATCAGTTTGGGTGATCATTTAAGAAAAAGCAATCAATAAAGCATTTAAAATGTGTACATCATGTGCACATAAGGAACCAGCATATCTTTGTGTAAAAACCTACAGTATAGGAATATGTAGCTATGCACTTACTGGACCAGTGTAAAAACATGTTGCATGTTCACTACAGCCCCCGTTTTCTCCGTTTGCACAAAGATCGATTGGGGTGCACACATATCCATCTCCTTCATATCCAGGAAGACATGCACATGAAACCTTTATCCCAGCCTGAGAGCACTGAGCACTAACACTACATCCACCATTGTAATTCTTGCATTGGTCAATAACTGCAGAGTAAAGTAACACAGTATTTACTAAATTAGGACTACTGAACCAGTGTAAGAGCATTTTATATCCGTCGTCGCCTAAGGAAACAGAGCAGCATCATATTAGCCAAATGATACATTTAATGGTAAGGTTCAACAGTCATCCATACCAAATACATAAAGCTCAGTATTTAGATCTGTCTTTAAGTGGAACTCCAGACAATGTTTAACTTAATTTTTTTTAGGATGGTGTGGGACTACAATTTATGTGTAATAAAATATATATTAAATAAAACAGATACACAACATGAGTTTAAAATTGTATAACCCTTTAAAAAGTATGATAAAACCTTATAGTCCACCCAGCTGGGTAAGGCAAGAAGTTGGCTTAACCTCACCAACAACACATACCTTTGCTTTGCTCCCCTGACACCTTTATCCTTGGCAGCCAAAAGAAACACTGGGTGTGACTATAGTGAGGTCTGTGGTAAGAATGGGCCGAGCACCATGCCACCCTCATTTTCCACAAATTTCAAAAGTCAATAACAATATGGTCAGATTAAAATCTCTTCTCTGTGCTAAGCAGTTATGAAAGTCAATACATTTGACAAAAAACAGTCCACCTAAAAGGAATGCAAAGATATCATAAACCTTAAATAGTCAAGGGTCCTCAAAGGACTTCTGAGGAGGCACTGTCATGAATGGTCTAAGGGGCAGCTTAGGAATACACATCAGGGAGTCTGGGGTTCTTGGCCTATAACTGAGCTTTAATAGCCATCGGTCAAAAAAATTCCATAATTCCTATTGTACTTTACATACCTTGCTAAAAGGTGGCTACATTAATGTAGAAGAAGATACAACTCAGCTATACACCAAACACAACTATATTACAAGGTCCAAAAAGCTAGTAAGACACTAGACCTTCTAAGAGAAAGACACATTATAGGCCTGTCATATTTGGTACCTAGCAAACCATAATTTTACTCTGCTATATGATATGCTATATGATATGCTGGTTTACAGATATTGAAACCGTGTTGTGTGTCTTCAGTTTTACTTTAAGTGTGTTTTCACTGAGCATTAATAAACACATCAGCACACCTACAGCACAACCCTGCACACCTTTTGATTGGTGGGGCTGCTCTGTTCCATCCTGTCTAGAGTGAAAAAAGGTAGCAGCACTTCCAGCTCTGGATTTACCATCAGAACTAATATGATTAGTGAGAGATCCAGAGTGAAACATCAGAGTGAACTTCATCTTCAAGTGATTTGAACTCTGCACTGTACCAGAGGCCAGGTGGACCTTAAGTCCTATTTAAATGCTTTGTTGTGTATGTCTATTTAGTAATGCCGTTTCAGTAGATTTTTCTTGCACAATGTTTTCTTATTTTTCATTAAAATAATATCTAAATATTATTAAGCTGAACCTCTGAATGCCATGACTAGAAACTAAGGAATGCTGTCTCTACCATAGAGTAACATCTGTTTCATTCCTATCTGGGTGTGGCAGTGAGTGATACAGACATTTTTTAAATTCAGAATTGTATCAGCGGATGCTGTATACTATGTGTGATTCCATTACAGAGGACACGCCTCCTTCCTCAGAACCAATTTCTTGCGAGTATGTTTTCAGCTCTCTATATATCGTTTTATTAAAGCGTTTTTACACGATGGAGGCGCTCTTTTTGCTTTTCATTTCAGGGATGCAAGTATGTATACTGGTATCTTTGGGTTGGGGGGTGTCTTCTATTTTTTTTTTTTGCGAAAATTAAAAGCAACAGAATCTCCATGTGAAAGGTGCAAGAAAGATATTTCTCCTACCACACTCTATCCAGGAGAAAAACAAAACAACCTTAATTCTTCAATGTAGATGGCGTTCACTGAGTTACCTTATCCCTGCTTTATTGGACCATTTTTATTTTTTCTCTTTGTAACTACATCAACTTACCATTGCATGTTCTCCCATCGCCTTCATAGTAAGGGTTACATTCACATTCATTGTCAGTTCTGCATGTAGCATTACCATCACAATCCGGCGCGCAAATAGGCTCAATCACTAGAATTACATGCGAGAAATAAAAAGATGTTACTTATTAATTAGAGTTGATTAAATACAATAGATGCTCTGACATTCAGTCACTTTAACCCTTCGGATGTAGGCAGGAGTTGTTTACCCCTTATGAACAACAATGCTTTTTATATTTTAACTACTTGTCCCTTGATTTGGCATATGATACCCAAATGTTACACATATTGTTTGTGGGATATATACCAAGCTTTCGACTGGTGCCATTGACCTCTGATAATTTATTTAGTTTCTTTGTTTTTTTGAAATGTGTAAAATATTTTTTTGTGGTTTATATACATGGTAGTTATATACATATGAAGCAAATGTAATTCTTTGGATGTTTTTTTTTTTAATAGCACTGCAAAACAAATATAACAGACTGAACCTAAACAAATAAAATGTTTGCATACTCACAGTTAAAAAATAAAAAATGTTGAAAAAACTGCAAAGGCAAAAAGCTGGAAGAAGGGGTTTAGTGGGTAACTAGGGTTAATAAGGCATTAAAAAAAATATGTTTACATTTCATTTATATTTCAAGCCTTACACAAACATAACAACCCTCCTCCTGGACTCAGGAACAACCTCCCCAGATCCCATTCTTTATTCTATAGTAAGCTTGGCTGCCCTGTGTAAATTCCTGTTAAAGCTCAGGGGATAGACAGGATTTTCCTAAAGATGCCCAGATGGAAAAAGTGCAACAGATTCCTCCATCTATGCTAAGCTGTGTGGATGGAGGAATCTCCCACTGGGCCAAGCTTCAGTATCTTGCTAGTCAGCCCCACTAGCTGTCAAAATACCAGAACAATCTGATTGGATGCAGGCATTGTTCAGGTGTTTTGAGAGCCAGTGGGGCTGACTAGCAAGATACTGAAGCTTGGCCCAGTGGGAGATTCCTCCATCCACACAGCTTAGCATAGATGGAGGAATCTGTTGCACCTTTTCCATCTGACCATAGAAAATCTGCAGATAATTGTAAGGTGTATGGCCAGCTTTAGAATATAACAGAGCCCGTTTAAAAATGTGCCAAGTTTTTCGTGAGGACTACTGTTGTACTCAATGGGAGGTCAAATCTTCAGCCCTACATGGACAAGGCTCTCGGCTGAGATGTTTCACGGATCAGATTTCTGACTGAGGCAGCTGTTGGCAGGACATATAGAAAAAATCAAGTGCTAAAAATGGTAGGGAAGGAGGAAGTGGGATTTTGTTACTACTGAGAAGAGGAGGAATGGTTGTTCTGTGCAGTTACACATTAGTTATACAGGAACTGACACGGTTTCTATTGCTCTCACTCAAATGTAAGCAATATTTGCACAGAATAATTTATAAAATGTTAATTCAACAACTCAAAATTAATCTCAGCACATTTAGACCTAAGTTCTTACTGAGTTTAATGTCACAGTTCTGGCCAGTCCATCCTTCGGCACAAAAACACGATCCATCACCAGAAATTCCATCACTACATTGTCCATTTTGTGTACAGGTGCACTCTGGAAAGGAAACAGCAGATTTTTTACTTAAACTAATTTTTTTACTGAAGTAGTTTCTTGTGAATCCACTACTAATCCACCACCACCACTGACAGATGGAAGGTGTGATATTGGTACAACACACCAGTAAAAGGCTGGCTAAAGACAGCATGAAAAACAACAACCAATGTCCCTGATGGGACGCATCACTTCTGATTATTGGGTGCTTTCTGCCGTCCTATAGATGGATGTAGAGGGTCTCACGTGTTGGATTTCTCACAGGGATATTTCCCAACCTGTTGAAAAAAATCTCCATGCAAGAGGGTGTTCATTCTTCACTCTTCTGTAAAGAAGAGTAAAGGATCAAAAGTAGTGCTTGCATGCTGCTGTTAGTATGAGATCATAGTGCACCCAGCACCTGTTCAGGCAGATATCTCACTGACCCTCTTTCTCAGGTAAATATGTGCATGTTTCTAGTTAGCCTTCATACAGTGCAGATCATTAAACCAAACACTACTGGCCTAGTGTCTACTGTTTAAAATAAATGTAAACCAATACAATCTAGTATAGGGCTTTAAAGCTTAAATCCAGTAAAATATGTTATGGGGTACAACACCAGACAAATAATTTACAAATAATTTACATCTACTGAAGAGTATCTTTGTCTGCCTGATGGCTATTTACTGTACAAATCCTCCCTGCCCTGGTGCTGGATACTACACAGAGCGATGTTCTACCGATGCAGTGAAGGGATTCTGTTGCTCATCTTTTCTCTCCCCTCACCCATTCACAAAATACCTTGTATTCTTTTCACATAATGCAAGGCATTCTGTGCATTAACAAGGGGAGAGGAGGGGTGAACAAATGGCAAGATCTTCCCTTGTCCAACAACAGCTACAGGCTTACGCTATCAAGTATGCATGCCATCCATAGGCATACAATGCCCTTTGTATTTGCAACTCCTGCCATTGGCTGTAATTGACAGCTCAGTAGGCTTGAAAGGATGGGAAAGAGGAACACCTTTTTAGCACAGAGTATTTAGGCACACCCCTGCTATACCTCCCGGTCACGGGGACAAAAATGTTCACTTAAACCCATTGGGACTTTTTCACTGCTGCTTTTCCTATATATCAACAAATAAAAATAATGATGGATGGAAAAGTTTAGTGCAATATAAACACTTTGGAAATTAAATGTTACATTTATTTATACATATAAGTAAACCAGAGCTAAAAGAGGGACATTTGAGGAGTGATGAGGGAGAGAAGGATTTGGTTCCAAAAGAGATACAGCCCATCCAAATGAGGGACAGTTGTGAGTTATGCTTTAGTGCAGTGATTCCAGTGGGCCCAGTAAATTCTTCCAAAACCTTCTATGCCCCAATAGGAATGCAAATTTTGTATTTAAAATGTTTTAAAAAGGGATTAATCAGTTGAAAATATGAGTTAGCATAATTTAAACAGACACAATAACAAAGTGGGATAGTGGCCCTCACTGGAAGACTAGTCCCCCAAATCATTGGTATCAGTGAGATAGCTGCCCCAGTGGGAGAATAGCTCCCAAATAATTGGTGTCAGTGGGACAGTGGACCCGGTTGGAGAATATTGACACAAATCATTAGTGTAAGTGGGCCTGTTGCCACCAGTGGGGAAATCGCCCGCAAAAATGTAGGGCCTAAATTATTGTTGTCGCTGGGATTGTGGCAACCAGTGGGAGAACCGCCTCTCAATTAATAGGTGTCCCTGGAGCAGTGGTCCACAGGATAGAAAAGCCCCCAGTTAATTAGTGTCAGTGGAACAGTGGCCTCCAGGACAGAACGTTTAAATACGCCTGCTCAGATCTAGGAAGGTCTCGGCCGGCGGTATTTTTATAACGGCCGCCTGGGAGGCGGCTAAGGTACATGCTTATGTAAACACATGATAAAAACTCAAGTGTGCTAGAATACATTCAGAACAGCTTGTAACAAAACTGGGTGTGTCCTTGCATGCTTTGTTTTAGTAATGTTCACCACTCTTTGAATTTTATTTGTAAAAACTTTTTTTTTGCTTGAAAGCCTGATAGCAGCTCGTTTAAAATGACAACCAGCATACCCAAGGAGATCTATGTTTAGGGTTTCCAAATTGATTACTTAAAAAGTAATTCAGTTACCTTAACTAGAAATGCACTGATCGCCGATACCGATACCGAATACCGATACCGGAAGTCCCATTAAGGAAGCCAGGTGGTGTGTAATGACTCGCCGCCCGGCTTCCTGATTAGCTGGGCGGCCAGTCATTACCCGCCCCCCGCCTTCCTGATTAGCCAGGAAATCATCCCCATGCTAGTATCGATATCGGTGCATCCCTAACCTTAACTATTAATAAAAATGTAGTTTATAGTTTTGAGGTCTATGCGCTTGATAAATGGTGGGAGTGTTTTTGATATCTGAGCCAGCTGAGAGGTGGATGTGGGTGAATGATGATTTGGACAGTAGTTGGGATCAGGGTGGCTGTGTTGCTTTGAGTATAATTCACTTGATCAGTTATCTATGATGATTATGTACAGTATATTGCTTGGCAATTGTGCTTTGGTCGTTGCTAAGCCAGTGGTGATGTAGGGAAACTATTAAACAGAGGCTTTAGATGCTGCTAATCATTGATCAGTGTGACATGCTTCTTTTAGTATATAAATGTAAAAAAATGGTTAATAGGTGAAAATCTGCGCTAAGGATATAACAATCTATCAATCTGATATAGAGCTGCTATGAATAAATTAATAGATTGAATACACAGCACTAAATATCAAATAATAGTGACAAATAATACGTGCAAAACGCCAATTACAATGGCCTCAATTAGAATAAATAATGTGATAAAATCTCATAATATGATATCAATAAGCAGGGACAAATGTTAAGAGGTGCAAAAACCGCCAATGACACTGGCCTCAATAAGAATCAAATAAATAACATAAACAAGTGATAAGACCCCAAATAGGGGAGCAAATATATATGAATATATAGCAGATACAGACCAAACAGTCCCAAAAACGTGAAGTCTATAAAGTGCAAACAAAACGAAAATCCACTTCGTGGAAGATGTTGGCGTTCTTCCAACGCCAGCCCCCATAGTCAAACCATTCCCAGAAATGTTTTAAATAGATCAGCATTCAATCAGAGCTCCCAGTAGATATGGAACAATCACCTGCGATCTTCTCAGCATCGATAATGAATCACAGATTCTCAGTGAATGGCTGTCAGTTTTCCAGCAGCAATAATTAAACTTCAAAGTTTCAAAGTCAAGGTAATGGTTCGAATACACTTTTACTCATTTGGTAGATTCCAGAGGATATTTGTTCTTGCCATGGGTGCACTACTGACAGCCTAGTTGTCCTCCAGCACTGACAAAATCGCGGGGATTAGAAGATAGGTATCCATTGTCAATGTTTGGTCGTAGCAGGACACAGCTCCTCTTCCTCAACGCACACAGACCTTTCCCAATCATCGGAAAGGGTTGTATGTGTTGAGGACGTTTTAATTTAAGCAGCTGATATTCATTTTCTTTTAAACAATGCGAGTGGCTTGAACTAATAATCAGTCATTAAGCAGTAATCAACTAATTGGTAAAATAAACTTACCTTTACAGTCTGGCCCATATCTGTTAGGGGTACATAGCTCACAAGCTGTCCCATTAAATCCCTCTGTGCATATGCACTGACCCGTTCCTGCTATTCCATCTACACATGTTCCATGATTACTGCACGGAGCTTCCAGGCCTCCGGGACACACTGTACCAAACAAGCATTTGTACTGTTCAAAACACGCTACATGGTAAATTTCACAACAAGAAATGTAACATAATTACAATACCTTAAAAAAAAAAAAGAAGTTCGCAGTAAAGCTCTTTTCCTTAAAAGAAAAATACTGTGTCCTGCAGTAATGTAAGGGTCAGCAGGTGGAACCAAATCCAGAGGTGACCAGGCATTATATGTCCATGAGGCACCCTCAGCAGCTTAACCAATTTCAACATCTGCTACTTCAATGTGGCTGGCGTAGGAATTCTGCCCTCATAAACTCTGATTCACTGGCCCTTGAACCAATGCATCTAACTGTGTTGCTAATTAGTTTGATAATCCAGGGATTTATCTATCATTTTAGGATAGTGGGCAAAGCCATGCACATCATTCCTTTATGCCCCTGTGGCCAAAACCACTGGTTTGCAGAACAGATACAGCCTACTACAGTGCCATTCATTCCAAACTGCAAATAACTATTCTAGGCTAGTTGGTCTTCATCAGTACTGTGTATGGAAACCATGGCATCAAGGCTTATGTACAACACACCAGAACAAAAAGACATGTTATTATGAGGTGGGCTAAAAAGAACCTCACAAAACTGTGTGTATAGAAAAATGTTTTTTTCTTTTAGCTTTGGATAGAGTAGGGTTGACCCCTGCCAGTTTATTTTTGGCTCGGAGCCAGTAAAGCATTGTAACCACGATCAGTGGATCGCTGGTGCAATGTTCTAGCTCCTGCCCCTGTCCATACTGAGGAAGAATGTGCAAAAGCAGTGATGTTTCATGTTACACCCTGAATATGTGTGCGACATGAAACATTGTTTTAAAGGTAAACTTAGCATTTAAAGAAAGTTTTATAAAGCTCTAAGGAGCACAATGTTGCTAATAACATCAAGGGTTACAGCTTACAGACTGGATAAACTCTGCGCCTAAAGGAAGCGGGTGAGGTTTATGTTAGCAGCAGCATTGTCAGCTTGTTGTGTGCACTTCTTCAGTTGGCTGTTAGACTGCCTATCTGGTCTATCAGAGAGCATAAGCTTGTTAATTGTAGAACTGTGTAGGGGATTGTTGGACCAATGGAGACCCGCTCTTGGTCCATGTCCCTAGAGTGCTAACGAACACAAAAATGTTAAGCATTAACAAAAAAAAACACATACTTCCTTTTTATGCAGCCTGACTGAGTACCTCTATTAATGGTTAAAGGCTTCATTGGGTTTTAAATTGCAATCAGTTTGGAAGATTTTGTTAAATTAGGGGTGATATTGGGATACTACTTACCATGGCAATCTCCTCCAAAGTGATTCTTACAGCAACGTGGTTCCCAAGAAACACTATAGCATTTTTTTCTGCAGCCCGTAGTACGGTATCTGTACCTATCATAAAGCCCCTGATACCGAGAAGAATATCTACGTATGCCAGCACCAAACCGACTTCTTGAACGGATACATGATTCTGTTTCTCCCTATAAAACAGAAAAAATAGAGTAATGATGAAGCCACTAAATGTTTTTAATGTCAGTAGCACCTACATAGGAGTGCCCTGGATACTCCTTGTCCATCAGAATGATCCATGCAAATGTTATGTCTCCTGGGGACTCTGGAGCAGACATCTCTGCATGTGGGTTCTGAGTTTCACCACCTACCGTGACCACAAGTCGGGAATGAAATAGGAATTGAAATAGAAGGACATGTAATGACAATTGGCAGATCAAAGTTTCAATCAGAAGGATGCAAAAGTATAGGAACAGCAGTGTATCAGTAGAGGGGCTTCTTTTTCTGGGCAACTGGTGGAATACTTATAAAGCAGGTAACGTGATATTCACCAAATTTTCACTGCAACTGAATCTTCATGGTGCATACATATGTTTTAAAATACAGGGAATTCCTAACTACCTGTGAATGTTTGATGTATGTCACATTCAATGCTATATAAATATGCCCCACAGCATTCTTTTTGGGATAATCACACTACATACTCAATGATCCTAGTAACAAAGGAATAAATACTATGTATGGCCCATTCAAATTTGTCAATTTTCCTTTAAAAAAATGTTGCATATTTTACTACAGGAAAATATAATTTAAGTAGAAACCTGTGGCTTGCTCACATGCAATTAGCAGACTTGTTAAAATCAATGGTAATCATTTTTTTGGGAATTGTAACACAATTGCACCTTTTAGAGTTGCTTCTCTCTAGTTTTGCATCCTGAAGAAAAATATGCATATGAAAGGTACAAAAATAAACATAAACTGGAGTATGAAATGCATAAAACATGCATTAACGCATTCAGTATGCAGGCATAACACATGCATAAAAACATTGGATTTTTGTACTCACTGTAAAATGCTTTTCTAGGAGCTCACTGAGGGACACAGGATTCAGAGACATTTGTGTTATACTGCCACCTACAAGAAGATTTGAACACTGACAAACAGAGACATGCCCAGTATAAGCTATAATTTTGTAACCAAGCAGTAGTGAGAGACAGACAGAGGGGTGGGACCTGTGTCCCTCAATGAACTCCTAGAAAAAGATTTTATGGAGAGTACAAAAATCCAATTTTCTATCTCGTCCATTGAGGGACACAGGATTTAGAGACATTTCAAATATGCAAAAGCAGCCCAGCACAGGGGTGGCCAACACAGCAAAGAAAATATTAACAAGCCCACTAAAACAACAGAAAACTAGGAACTATCTGCAGCTCAAATAAATGCCTGAAGGACCTTGCACCCAAAGCTTGGATCAGATGATGAAATCCACCTGGTAAAAATGTGTGAACAGAGGAGCAGGTGGCAGCCTTGCAAATCTGAGAAAAAGTTGTCTGATGCCAAAAATACCAATGAGCACTCAGAGGCCTTGTGGAGTGTGATTTGACAAGAAAGGGTGGTACTCAATCCTTAAGACCAAAAGGTTGAATGATGATCTGCCTGAGCCACCAAGAAATGGTGGAATGAGAAGCTGGTTCCCCTTTGCAGGGACCACTAAGGTTGACAAAGATAGAGTCATTCTTTCTAATGGAAGTAGTGGCTGCGAGGTAGACCCACACAGCTCAAACTACATCCAGGCAAGGAAGGAAAAACTCCTTATGATGTACTGGAGCTGGACAGGGGGATTGAAGAACAATGTTCTGGTTGAGGTGAAAGGCTGAAGTCTGAAGGAAGGAAGACACTAGACCTTAACACCACCTTGTCCTTGTGTCATACCAGAAAGGTATGTCCTATTTACAGGACAAATCTGCCAGTTCAGATAAATGCCTTGCACAGATGATGACAACAAGGAAAACCACCTTGTAAGAGCAGAAAGGGGGAAATCGCTGTTAGGTTCGAAAGGCGGCTTTTGAAGTGCAGAAATAACTAAATTCAACTAGTACAGAGTGATGGGTGAACACACAGGGTGATAACACATTAACGACACCCTGTACAAAGGTCCTAATCAAAGAATGGGAGGCTAGTGGTCTTTAGAACAAGATGCTGATATTTTCCCCTTCATGGTACAAAAAAAAAAAAAAATTACATGGGCTACATGCTGATCCAGGCCTAATTGCAAATAAATGAGGATTCATCCCATGGAGTGTTTCCTGGGGTAAAAGCTTATTTTCTCCCACCAAGCGAAGTATGGCCTATGCATAATGGTAAACCTTGCGGGAAGTGGACTATGTAGTTTTTAGCATTACAGAAATCACCATTCTGGGAAGACCCCTATTTCTCATAAATTGGTCTTTATTAGCCATGCCATTAAAGCCAGCAACCATAAAGGAGGGTGGTAAACTGGTCCTTGGGACAGATGATCCAATTGAACAGGATCACGGGTCCTCTGCCAGAAGCCTTATCAGGTCAAAGTACCACATCTGCCTGAAGCTAACAGGAGCACAAGAATGCACTCCATCTCAATCCACTGGAGCAGCTGAGGGAGGAATTTTAAGGAAGGAAAGGCATACATCAAGTTGTACCGATTCCATGTAGCCAGTAGAGCATCCACTGCTTCCGCCAGGTGATCTAGCTCTATTTGGATACAAACATGCCCACTTGTGTTGAACCTGGAGGCTAGGAGGTCCACATCCAGTGTCCTTCACTGGATCCAGGCACTTACAGCTGAGGAAGCCTGTCTGCCATTTGTCCAAGTCTGGGATTTAAAAAGGCGGACATTGCTGAAACAAACAGGGTTATTCACAAAAGGGTGAAGAGTTTGGAGAAGGCAGGAGAAGTGAACAATCTAGGACAACATAGCTGAACTGGAAAGCGAGCTGAATTGGAGAATTTTTCCAAAACAGCAATCGTGGGATTCCTGTGACTCCTCATGGACAACATCAAGTCAAGCAAGAATTTTTTGAGAATCTTTTTCAGAAAGAGCCTTTGCAGCAGAAAGCTCAGAAGCCACTAAGACTGCAGGTAGGTCAGATCATCATGATTCTGTCAGCGGAAGACATTGAGATAAACTTACAGTCTGTGGGCAGTCAGCAATCAAAGTTGCAATTTGGCCCATAAAATAATTAATAACTTTGGTGAAATCCACTTAGTTCAAAACCAAGGGGGGGCCACACCTGACAGAGCTAAGGAGGACATCGATGAATGTAGGAACTTAAGCAGGGGATAATATGTGCCATGACTCTGGACTTGGAAAGCGCTCCATGGCAAACTAATACAGTAGACAAAAGTCTGCAAAGCACCACAATGCAAAGCAGAGTGCCAGGCAGACTCGGCAGTCTTTGGTCCAGTGGGTCCCTGTGTGGCCCCCAAAGCTATTGATGAGGATAGATTCATAAATATACCAACACATGCAGTGTGTTGAGACATCTTGATTGAAGGAAAAACAATCTTGACAAGAAGAAAAAATGGCTAGTAAAAATCAGTATACTGTTATACTGAAAACGGGTTCATCATCCTATGACACTAGCAAAAGACTGAGGCATGCTAGGAGTAGAAAGTGTTACACAATGTTTGCCGCTGGTTGTTTGTTTGCCAGTGTCCAAATCCTCCTGTAGGTGGTAGAATAACCCAGATGTCTTTCAATAAACTAGAAAGAAAGCCCATTACTGTATATGCATAAGCGTAAAAGATCACTTGGGAAGATACAGCAGAACACTATTTGCATAGAGTTTGCATGTTCTTCATGTGATTGCATGGGTTTCCTAGGGGCAATCTGGTTTTCTTCCACACCCCAAAGACATGGTGGTAGGTTATCAGATTCCTGTCTTAATTGGCCCTAGTATGTGTATGTAGGAATGTGAAATAAGGACCTTAGATTGAAAGCTCCTTGAGGGCAGGGACTGATGTAAATGTACAAAATGTAAAGCGCTGCATAAATTGATGGCGCTATAAAAATGCCTGTAATAAATACTAAATGAAATATGAAAACTGAAATACGCACAGCACAGCCAGGGGAATTACATCAATTCCAACTGAACTTTCAGTTCAAATTAACTAAATACATTCTATGTGTAAATAAAAAAGGTATTATAGTCTTACAGTTTGTTTTCTTTAGAAAACATCCACAACCAGCATACTGCAGAGATGGACCCTTGCTGTCTATGTGGAAACAATGGTCTCACTGAAGAGGTCACCCCCCTTACCTGCTGAGTCAGAACTATAGTTCCACAATCAGTTAGACCTTTGCAGAGAGATCACTGCTTCCACACAGGGAGCAAGAATCCTTCTCCACATCATGCTAGCAGGGCACAGGTTTTTCTACTTAGGCTGTGGCTGTTTCGTAAAGGAGAACTATGAGGTGAGTGAAAATCACTCATCCTCATAGTTTGAGCCGACGTGTGACAATTAAACTGTCACATGTCGGCTCAATAGATCGGGAAGTAAGCGAACACATACCATACCACATACCATCGCTCGCTCAATTCTCGATCCTGTACCTGCAGAGAGCCGTAACTGTCACTCACGGCTCCCTGCAGGGATTCCCTCCTCCCCGTCCGATCCTCCAGCGCTGACTGGCGGAACGGACGGGGGAGGGGGTGGGCACAGCTGGCTATGCCTCTAGATAGGCAGAGCCAGCCGTCAATCACGCAGCTGGGTAGTTCTGTCCCGGCTGCGGCAGTCTCAGTATACTGCGAGCTGTAGCTCGCGGTATACTGAGCTTTGGGTCATGGGAGGACGCTAGTTTGTGTCCTCCCGTGACCCTGAGGAGAACTATGGGGAAAAGCACTGACCCCATAGTTCTCCTTTAAGAAAACAAGCTGTAATACTTTGAACAACTTTTGTATTGATGCTCCTGGAATATATTTAGCTTATTTGAACTGTTTAAATTGACACTCACAGAATAATATCTGCAGTATCAATGCGAATTACAATATAGCAACATTATTGTTGTTACCTTGCAATTACTCTGGTTCGTTTATAGCAAATCAAAGAGGTAATATTTTATCTAAACTCGCCATCAGTTAAATTAAACCTTGTGTTCCTAATCAACCCCATAATATCCCTTTCTAACTCTAATTAGCTCTAATTAACTAGTTTCTCCCCTTAACTATTATTTTGCTACTGATTTTTTAATTTTTGTATCAGTAATGTGTACATTTTTTTGTTTTTTATTGTTGTTGCTGATTTTTTTGGTTTCATATTTAAAAATGATTAAAATGTGAAAGCAAATTGTAATAGAAACTTAGTGTCACTTTAAATGGTAAAAGTTATGGAATAAAATGTGCACTTTTTTTTAGCAACAGTAGCACCAGTTGTTTTAAAACTAACACTGGTCAAACAAGCAGATTTCATTTTTGGTTTTGATCCTGTTATTATTTATACATTGCATTAAAAAATGTAATTTCTGCAGGCAATAATGCCAAGAAAAAACAGCCTCGTGGCAAAAAAAAAAAAATTGATATATGTAAAACTTTCTTATCTGTATTTAACAAGCTATTTTCAAATCAAATAGGCCAATGGGCTGCTACTCTATGATATGCAGGGACCTCAAGAAAAGATCAGAGGAAAAAAAATAGATAAAGGAGAGGTTTTGCCAACATCTGTAATAGTTTATTTTCTGGAACAGGTTAAAAGAAAACAAAATAGTTATAACTTACCCGATCAACGGTTCCATAGGGGCAAGGGCTCTCGAAGCCACATATTGAACAAGCGTCTAGTGTGCTCTGTAATAAAGAGAGGATAAACCTTACTTTTACCTGCCTATAATACAATTCACATATAAAATAAAAAAATTACTGGTGAATAAAAAGTTTCATTAAAACATGGAATAGGAATACACATTTCTATGAGATTGATCAATGAAATTATTGTTTTGATTGTCTAATAAAATAAATAAATCATTGATTATTTTTATTGTTTTATGATTTCGTTTGCTTTTGACCAGTCATGTAGTACTGAATTAAAGATGAAAACATGGGTATGAAAAATGCTGATAATTGTTCAAGCCATCTGTCTGATGTTTCAAAGTGATTTTGAAATTATTACTTTTTTTTTTTTCCCTTCAAACATTTGCATTTGAAAGTGCTCAAAAGGATAGAGGTGAATTTACCATTTGCTTTGCACTGAACTATTGTTTCATACAATCCATTAAAACTACCAAATAATAAAACGTAATTGAAAACTGATGCAGGTCCCTATGTTCAATCTCCCCACCATAGACATGTTTTTATGAGTTTACTCCAGGTCTCCATTTTTCCTCCCAAAGCCCAAATGCTGGTAAGTTAACTGGTTTCCACTCAAATAATAATTAAAATAAAAAAAGGTGATTAAAATGTAAAAAATAATAAGAAAAAAAATTATTTCAAAAAAGTTAAAAATAATATGTTAAAACAATTATAAAAAATGAAAATGTAAAAAATAATAAGATACAAAAATTATAAAATATATATAAAAAAGTAAAAGATAAGATACATAAAAAATGGCAAAAATAAATAAATTAAAACGAACCCTGCCGCCCCTGCCATCTGGTTTCCCATTCTCCATTGCGGGAGGGGAGGTTATGCAGGGAGGGGACGCATAGAGGAACCTGGCCTTGGGGCAGCAGAGAGAGTAAATCCAGCCCTGTCAGCGTGTCTGCATAAATGTGGTAGGGACAATAGGTTGTAAGCTTCACTGTGTCAGTAACTAATGTAAGGTGCACATACTCTGTAAAGCGTTATATAAATTAAGTGGTGTGCTTTACAAATGTGCTTAGTGCTTGCTTCATGCTTCAGAAGCTAGCAAAGCTTTATATATTTCAATGAATGGTTAAAAAAAAATTCCAGAGGAAGACAGTCTGGTCACATGACCTGTCAAAGTCATGTGTCAGGGCTCTCCTACAATGTATTACTGAGTGTTTTCTCCACATGGGAAAGGACACTGCATGCTCTATATCTCAGTCTGAATTTTATATTAAAAACAGCAGTATTCAGTGGATAGCGGTATCCATTCTCCATTATAAAAGGGCCCCTCAGGCATTCGTTTAGAGGCCTTTGTTCTGCTCAGAAGTTTAGTTTAACTGTTACGGTTAACACTGGGTTTTGTGGGCCTGGGTTATAAGTTAGGTGCACAGCAACTTACTGAAGCTGTTGTCACAGCATACTCATCACAACGAGCTCCAATGTTGGGAGGCTCAAGCAACTGGTCAATCCCATGGGCGATTCCCTCAGTAAATTCCAGATCCCGCTGAATAATCTTAGCGCTGTTTTCATTTAGAAGAATATCTCCCTGGACAAAATAGAAAGTTATACAGAAAAACAGCATATTATTACCTCTTAAGTGATTTAAATGCGAAGTTCAACCAACGCTATAAAAATTTATGAACAGGAGCTGTGTGTGTACCCAGCTCTAAAAAAAGTTACTGGACAGCATCCACCCACTTCCTCTGTCCACTTTAGTTGCAGCAAATACATTTAGGTTACATGGTAGCTCAACCACCACCCCGTTATTTCTGCAGTCACTCCCATGCATGTTTTACCCAGCCCACTACTAAAAGTAGCTACTCCTTCAAACATCTTCACATTGTGCCACCTTGCTTAATATGTATGTTCTATCCTCTGATTTTTTTTTCACATAACATGACAGTAAAGACAAATTTTGATCAAAACTGGCATTTCATTTGTGCATTAACACTGGAAAGATGAGTCTCCCACAAGCCTCTCTTCTATAATGGTTGTATTCCCACACAAGAGTTTTTCTATAGGACCCCACAAGGTCATAACAAGGTCGCCACCCTCTCACAGCCCGAAGTGGGACAAATCAAACAGATGTCCAGCTCAAATCTGCAAGTAACATAATTAAAACGCCAATAAATTCTGAATGATCTCATAAGCATCTAAAACCAATGTCCAAAGCACAATGCTGTTGCCCATCAAAGCCCTTAGGCGGCGTAACTCACCATAACACAGAAGTATCCAATTGTGGGTGGATTGGCCGTTACAATTTATTTAGATAAATAACATTTTTCGGAGTTAAAAATTACACAGGGAAGGAGGGGTACTCACAATGTTGGTTGTGCTGCATTGAAAGGAAATTTTGGAACCATATAGTGTCCGAAGTAATTTGGCTTCAGGCAAGCTTGCTGCAGTAATCTGGAAAGAGACACTGTACATTAGTTGACTGACTAAGCTTGTCTATCTAAAGCTCCTAGACAATGAGGGCTTGTGTGCAGAAAAATTGAGTTATGTGCTTCCCAAACTTCTTTAAACTTCCCCACTAGCTATTATGTTTGGCTTTTCCTTTGGCGCTCCTGAACAAGCAGCAGGATAGCCATCTCAAAGATCAAGATTTTCATTTAAAAATGATTGTATATATGCAAGTAGGTTATACATGTACACTAGTAAAACAGTAACTTAAAGCAACTATATATACATAATCATTAGGGATATCCAGATACCAGTTCAGATACCAGTGCCGATACTTGGAATTTTTATGAGAACTATCAGGGTTGCAGCGGTTGCAGCTGGGACCTGGCTCTGGCACTCCACCACTGTCCTGAAATCATTAGTCTGTATTGTTTTAGAAAAACTGTCACATGACAATAAACAAAAATGTATCAGTACTTGTATCTGTGAGGACTTGGACAAGTATCAGTACTTGGAAAAATTGCATCGGTGCATCACTTGTATATATTAAAAAAAAATAAAAAAAAATAATGCATTAAAATGGGGATGCACAAATCCCAGGAGCTCCGTGTGCTCCTTAAAAATGACAGCTGCCTACTAACTTTTGAATTTTTCTCTAGTCTAGTCTTGGAGCTGGAAAAGTATTTGTACTTGTACCGAGTACTTAAATATCGGAACATCCCTAATAATTGTTTTACATTTTTGGAAGAATTGCATCATGGAAGCACCGTATATAAAATACGTATAAACAGTTTTTGTTGTTTTACAAGGTCAGGGAGGAGAGGGGGAGTGGAAAAGAAGGAATTAGGGTACAGACTTAAAAGTAGTCTCATTGGAACCATGCTATTTGACATAGTTCAGGTCTATCCTCTTCCCAAAATATCTTTCATCTCACACACCCTCTTAGCTACATCAGGGGCAAATTCTGATCGCCATTGTCTCACAATGACTGTTCAAGCTGCTGAGAGAACATGACACAAGTGGTTGTTTCTGATTGAATAAAAGTGACACTAAACTCAGAAGTTAAATCTTAAAAATGCATTCAAGTACCTTAACTATTAACAAAAATGTATCTTATTTATGTATCACTCGGATGTAGATCCTCAGATCATCTCTGAATCCATGCTGACAATGTCCTTCCTTCTGGAGGGTGGCTACTTTTGTTCCCCATGGTCCCTGTGTGTGTGGTAAAGTAGCCCCCATGCCAAGCTAGTTCTCGTGATAGACTATAACTTTGATACAAATTAAATAACTAAACATGAGATTGTAGTCCATCACAGGAGCGAGCTTGGAGTGGTGTCTACTTTACAACACACACAGGGACCACGAGGAACAAAAGTAGCCACCCTCCAGAAGGAAGGACAGTGTCATCATCAATTCAGAGATAATTGGAGGATCTACAGCTTTGTGATACACAAATAAGATACATTTTTGTTAATAGTTAAAGTACTTGAATGCATTTTTAAGATGTAGCTCCGGAGTTTAGGGTCACTACAACGGATCCTGGGAGAATAGATAACAGAGTGATGCAGGAGTCCTTCTTTATCTTAGTAGCCAAGATCTTGTTATAATTTGCAGTGTCTTGTCTTCCACAAATATGAGTCTTTGTGTTCGATACACCTCCAGCATAGGCCTGAGGCAGTAGGGTCAAAGATGTGAAAGTCGACCATGCATTTACACATTTCTGATGCCTAGCATATAAAGACTATTTCTGAGTTAGGCTTTGTCCAGGTATACATTCTTTTTATACAAGTAATTAAAAACTATAAAATAATAGTACCTAAACATTGAACAGCATTGGTAACCCTTCTATAAGTTTAGTGTATTTGCAAAGGGTACCTTTGTGTCTCTAATAATGTGAACTTTTAGATAGGCCATGAGTTTATCTTTGTGGTCTTCATGGTACAACCATCTCTTTCTCTCTGCTGGCATGGAGTTGAAAGCTTCATCTGTAGGCCACAGCATTGTGAAAGGTTGGTGAACTTTCTCTTTAAGCACAGAATGCAAGTTGGACTCCTGTTACAAAGAAATTAAAAGTTAAATGTCAAACTAAATAATAACAGTAGTAAGTGATCTAGTTGGACAAACTGTGATAAGACATATAAAAAAAACCTGATGTACTGACAAGCTTTTTTGCTGTCCCCGAAAAGAATATAGATCAAAAAACCTTGCGAGTTGCTGTGCGAAAAGTGTGTATCACACCTTCATATTACCCTAAATGAATAGTGCACTGAGCTTACAGATTAGAACATGTATAAAAACTCCACCTCACTAAAGTGCCCTACTCAACACAATGTGATATTCCACCTATCAAAGTGCTCAAGTTATAAATATACATAAAACTGGTCAATGTCATGTGTGCCAGTGTTAGCCGAACCTGACTGTACAATGCTCTTAATTCTGCCAGTTCAGCAATGTGGGGTGCCCCGAGGTGAGATGGACACCCCTACCTCAGGGCACCCCACATTTGCTGAACTGGCAGAATTGGGAGCATTGTACAGCTAGGTTCGGTAAACACTGGCACACTTAACATTCACCAGACTGCCATCATTCACAAAATGAATCCAGTACATTGGGGAGACTGATTAAGAAACCCTGAACCGCTACTGGTATAGCTAAAGGAAGTGATATCCTGGATCGATTTCTGATTCTACCAACTGAAGTGAGGGATTCTGAGAGGAAGCCGGGAAGTTAATACTGCACTAAAAACATTATATAACCGTCCTGTAAAGGGGTCGTCCTGATTCCGGTGAGTGCGGATCCTGCATTATCCGTTCACTAAGGGTGGACAAGGAGCACTATAGGTGGCACGGAAGATTGACGTTTTATTTTGTGCTTTGAACCACGGTTATGGATTTGATCGGTTAACATATGGACTTTGTTATTTGCACATGTCACTATTTATGATAAGAATATACTATTTTGCACACATCACTATTATCACTGAATGCAGTGGACTGTTTTCAACTGATAGTTTTATGTATATTTATAAAAACATAGAAACAAAGAATAGACGGGCCGACACCCATTATCCACAGGGTTCGAAATATGCATAGTGTCCAAACCAAGGAGCAGAAATCAAAGGCATTCAGGCAGTACATGAGGCAAATAACTTGGTAATGTGACCGTAGTACATTGGAAACCCTGATAGGGTTGGGAGATGCCCATACCCCAGCTGACTACTCAGTTTTTTAGTATCGACATGGAAAGGGAGTGGCCCATAAGAAGGTAAGTAACATAACTTGAGCACTTTAATAGGTGGAATATGACATTGTGTTTAGTAGGGCACTTTATTAATGTGGAGTTTTTATACATGTTCCAGCCTGTAAGCACAGTGCACTATTTACTAAAGGTTTTAGCTGTCCCCACCTGGCTATACAGTCAGATTTTATCATTCATCTATTGTCATTTATGAATGCTTAGTACTACACAGTTATGTAATACTGCATGAATCATGATATTGGCTTTTCTATTAGAATAATGGTTAAAAAAAAGTATGCACCTTGGTAACTATGACACTGAATTGTTCTGCATCTTTTTTTCCTACTATATGTTCTGAAATGATAATTCAGAGTTCTTCGTACACGATATAATAGAAAAACAAATGTATTTTTAACTATTTAAAATGAATTAATCTTGCTATACAAAGAAACGGAGGGGTTATCCCTCCTCATTATAATATACATGTTGTTTATTAATGACAAAACAATAGTAACCAAGTAAAGTGTGACTTGCTGTCTCACTGATTGGTTAAAGTAAATGTTTTTCTTTTTTAGTTGCGTAGAAATTGGATTCAGGCAAATTATCTTACCAAAGATTATTGCAAAAAGTTTTGTTTTAATGCTTAATTTGTAATTATGTACATAGGGAACCAGATTTTTTATATATGCAGGCTCAGCTTCCTACTTTGTATTACTACACAATGGTTGCACTTTATAAGCTTCTTCTCACAATGTATTTAGGGTTGAGAATGGAGACTGTTCAGTTAGCTTATTGTATAAAGTGAAGCTGAGTTAACTTCAGTCATCCAATAACGTACAAGCAAAAGTCACGTTTTCTTAATTACTATGCACATGATCAGGGATTCAAAGTGAACATAGATTTAGTTATTTACTAGTTTAAGTAAACAGTCTCTATTGCTTTAGTAAATCAACCCTTTTAGGTCAGCAAATCGGGAGATCTATAGGTCAGTAGTTGTTCAGGATTTAGGAAAAGTTATGCTAGCCAGACATGTCTAAATGCCATCAACAGCATGGATGTGGGAATCTCCACTGCCGGCTATTGTAACCAAGCAGCTGCTTGAATACCCAAACAGTGACAGTATCTGACAGGACGCAATCACTGTCCAGCTGATAATTTTCCAATTGTGCTGACAGGGCTACCTATGGCTGACTTTCAGCCGATTCAGGAGGAATTGGCCATCATTCAAGTCGTTTAGGCCAGCTTAATAGAAGAGGCTAAACAAACCAGCCTCTAAAGACATGCAAAAATGTCAGTGCCCTTGTACATGAATGTGGACTGATCTCAAACAATATTATCAGCTTTTCCAGCTATCATCTGTAAACTACAGAACAACTTCTCCCTATGTAATGGAGAGAATGGGAAATGTTCTGTAGTCCTAACATGCTTTCTGTCCTACAGTAATCACACTGCTCCTCCATAGATACAGTGCAGTGAGTAAGCAATGTTATTCTAGTACAAGAAGTGTGTCATTGGCAAGGTCACCAGGTAAAAATAAAGGAGAAAAACCTGACAAAAGAAAATGAATATCTAAAGTTTGCTAAGCTGCAATATAATACATTTTTATTTTGGGGTTTAAATACGCTTTGTAAATGTATATAAATAACAATCTAATTACTTCAAAGTAATTTTAGACAATGTATATGTGTAAAAAATAAGTCAAAGCAACTGGACTTGCAGTATTTTTCTTGAAGACATTTCACTGGTTATTCAACCAGCTTTGTCAATTCAGAATGACTTGTAGAAAAATTATCTGGGAATAAATATTCACCATATTTATTCCCAGAGAATTTTTGTACAAGTCATTCACCATATTTATTCCCAGAGAATTTTTGTCATTCTGAATTGAGAAAGCTGATTGGATGACCAGTGAAATGTCTTCAAGAAAAATACTGCAAGTCCAGTTGCCTTGACTTATTTTTTACAAATATACCATGATCTGGATGGATGAATGAATAGACAACTTTAGACAATGTACTTAAAGACAATGTACTTAATTTGGTCCATGAATTGACCAAATTAAGCTTTGCAGTGGGGCTACCCTGCACTGCAAGGGTTAACTGCCTGTTTTGGTCCTTGATCCTACCTGGCTTTTAGACCGGTCTTTTCTGTGCTCCAGTGGTCTAAGCCCCGCTGATGTCATCATGTGTAATGCAGGTCCATCCATCTGCATTAGACTCGAGTACGCCAAGGAACATTCCACAGCCAGAGGGGGAGAGAGGTGAGCACTGACTGCCGCAGGACCAAGGGCCAGGTGACTGTATCTTCTGTAGTCTGGCCCCTAGCCCACAACCGGCAGTAATTCCTTGCAGTGCAGTGAAAACTTTGCAATAATAAACACAAAATATGTGTTCACTAAAAATATCTTCCATCTAAATTCGTACATACTGCACCTAGCTGCAAAAAATGTCATGACAAATAATAGTTTTGATTTTACTAGCTTATCTGGTGGGATATTTCTGCATGGGAGCATTTGGGAACAATGCATATTTGAAGAAGAATAGTAAACTTACCTTCAGTAGTTGGGCAAATGTAGAATAACCATGAAGCATGGCAGCCTGACTTACACCTAGCTGTATGTGAAAAAACACGAGTTAGTAATTATGAATTCACTCTAGTTCCTATTCATTTTCCACACGCATTTACTACAGTGTATATGAACACCACTCTACTAACTTGTCAATCTAAAATCCCGGGACTTAAAATCAGAACTCAGATTGCTACAGTCATTTTTAAAATATTCTCAATGACAACTATCATATGAACCTGAATCTCCTATCGGTGTACCATAGAGAGGGTGACGCTGTGCAGTCACAACTCTATGGCTTTGCACAGTGCTTGTTATCCTAACTCTAAACATGCTTGCAGGGGGATAACCTCATCAATATTCTGCAGCTCCTTCATTGTCCAATCAGCAGGTAGGGGTAGAAAAGGTTACTAAATTGCAATTACAGCAGCCAGCTTTCCTATATTCACCTATCATGTGGGTACAATCAGGGCCCCAACTTGGGGCAGCAGGGAGTAGAGGGGCAGCAGGGGTGTGGAATTCCTATCTCCCGATGCCCGGGACATGCAGTTCCGGGCGCAGAGAGGGTAGTTGTTTTCTACATTTAGCCCTGCTTTGGGCAAGCAGCGCTAAATGTACAGTGGAGAAGCCTCTGCTTGTTTTGTACAAGTGATCTTGGCGATGTCATGGTAAAAACGCGACAAAATACAATGCACTGCCTTCCAGATCTGTTCTGTAAAATGGTTTTGGCGTGTTTTTACCGCGATTTTGCCACGTTCCGGAGCAGTTTTTTTAGCTGATAATGGGCTTTCAGGTGTGGTGCATTTTTGATGCGTTTCCATGTGTTCCAGTGTATTCAAAAGCAGTATTTTTTTTATCTGGTTAGGAACGGACTGCGCTGGTGTGAACAGAGCCCAGAAATACCTTAGCAATACATTGGGATGCTTTTTTGGTCCAGGAAAAACCGACATGGACATGATCCGGACATAGTGTGAACAAGACCTAAGTGAAACACTCCTGGCTATTTAAGGGCCCATTCACACCAAATCATCTCCAGACCAGACCAGATTGTTTCCAGACCCGAAATGCATCCTAATGTATCCCTATGCTATTTCTGGCCTCTGTTCACACCAGTGCAGTCCGTTCTAGACCAGACCACACCAGAAAAATACTGCTTGTCCAATTTTGTCGGAACTGGAATGCACTGGAATTGCGGCAGGTTCACATTATTTTCCGGAGCAGATCTGGTCTTGAAAATGGTGTGAGCCTGCCCCAAAACCCAATTTTCAAAGAAGGGGATGTTAATAGCATAACATATTAACATTTGTACCTTGCCTTGCAATAGAAGATCAGCTACATTGCAATACTTGAGTACTTGATACTGCAGGTACGGTAAAAGCACCATACCAGCACTTAAAAAGTGCAGCCACTTAAATTAGTGCCTTGAACAATTGAGCCAAATGTTTTAGGCAATGAGAAGGCTTAACTTAATCCTAATATCTCTCACTTAGCACTTGATGACTAGTAGCACACTTTAAAAAAACTGACCTCTTTGCATTTGTGCCCAGTGATGTGGTTTCATATGGAAAGAAAGGATGAGAGCATCAGGAAGTAGGGATCTGTTCAGGTATACATTTTTATTTGTCACAATACAAGGTTCTATCAAGAGTTGACAGACAACGCATTTTGGAGATTATACGCAAGCCCCCTTTTGTGAATGCTTAGATTATTACTGGGAAGCAATCTTGACAGTTGGATAACCCTAAGTTTTAGTCTTTAGGGCTTGTTCACACCATCTCCAGACTGGTTCTTTATGTGTTTCTACATTTTTGATACATTCTGGTGCTTTTTGTTTCTTTTTTAAATTAGGTTTGCTTGTGTTTTAGAGCGTTTCAGTGCATTCAGGTGCATTTTTTGCATGTTCTGGTGCACAAAAAACCATGCTGCTGTACTTTTTTTTTTTTAAAGCGCTGGGACTGAACACAATGTTGTGAATTATCCTCAATAAAATAAATTGGAATGCATCTTTGGTGCAGATAAAGGTTCTGGTCTGGAAATGGTATGAACAGGTCATATATACCATTGGAATGACTGCGTATGCGTTTTTGGTGTGGATGAAAAATGCACTGGTCTTGAGATAGTGTGAACAGGTCGTATCAACCACTGGAATTACTGTGAATGTGTTTTTGGTGTGGATAAAAAAAACATTCTGGTCTGGAGATGGTGTGAACAGGTCCTATAAACCATTGTAACTATTGTGAATACGTTTTTGCTGCGGATAAAAAACAAAACTTTCTGGTGGGAGATGGTGTGAACACGTCCTATAAACCATTGGACTTACTCTATGCCTTTTTGGTGCAGAGATGGTGTGAGCGAGCCCCCTACATGGGAAAATGTTTGTTCTAATGAATAGTGTGGCAACAGGGTCTCTTTAATATGTATTGCAGGATATGGTGACAGTTAGAAGCCAGTGGCCAGCAGCATTGTCAAAATCATTGCATTTGTTGATTACTGGTTTTCTGCAATTCTCTGGCGGTGGTAACCAGTTGTAAATTATAACAATATTCTTAGCTTTTTACAGTTTCTACTTAACCCTCTATGTATCTCCATCATGTACCCAAAACACTGTCTAGAAAAAGTACTTTGTTTTTGCTGAAAGTTAACATTCAAACTTACCAAAGATGAACTTGCGTTTGTTGGAATTTTGGGTATTAACACTTTGTCAATAAAGTGGATGACACCGTTATTTGTTAAAAGACTTTTGATTATTTTGGCAAAGTCATTCAAGTACACTTCATCCTGAAAACAAATAGGCACAATGTTTAGACTCGCCTATAAATGTGCATCATACATAGAAAATAAGAAAAGAAGTGCTAGAATCACAACTCACAACAATAAGTGTTAAAATGCATTTATTTTAGAGCAGGACCAGAGTAATAATCAAACATGGTAATTTGGTATGGTAGGCCCATGCCTAGGTGTGTCCATGTATGATGCATTTGAAACAGAGACGTAACTAGAAACCTCAGGGCCCCGGTGCAATAAACCATTTCTACAATATCATCACCTGTGTTGCCATTAGAACAAGGTACAGAATATGTTAATATGGCACCTCTAGGACATGGCAGCCATCTCAATGCTACATATCAGTTAACAATGCACCACTGGGTAACACTTAACTGATTTTAGCAATCATGGTATTGCATTAATATTTATTGTGCATTTAGGGCTTGTTCACACCAAGCTCGTTCCCAGGAGCAGAGCAGTTACAGACCGGATCAAAACTGCGTTCAATGTATTCCAATGGTATTTTGGGCTCTAGTTCAAAACTGCAGCAAGCCCTATTTTACCTGCTCTGGAACGCATGCAAATGCCCTGGAACAAACTGAAAGCCCATTTTAAACTAAAAAAAAAAAATATTTTTTTTTTACCAAAAACGGCCCGGATTGCATCAAAAACGCGGCAAAAAATGCGGTGTTACACACTGCACTGCGTGTGCAGAAACTCATGCAGATCTGGTCTGCATTTGGTGTGAACAAGCCCTTACTCTACATCACAAAACAGCAACACGGCTCTACTTCCTGTCTATGCAACAGATCAGTCAATGAAAACTCACTGGGACTCCCTGAGTGACAGAAATGTTACCTTAAACAAAGAGGTTAAAGGGGGTTTAGTAAAACTCTGACCATCCAGGTTAACCAGTTTGCTGCTGTCTCTGCGTCCAATTATGCCGATTAGGTGGCCAAACCAATTTTGTTATTTTGTATGAAAAAAATGCTAAAATAATTATTAATGCACACAATTACTAAATATAAAATGTATGTGTTTTAGTTATTTTAAAAAAATCATTTTTAAATTACTTTTTTTGGGCGGTTTGATAAAGAAGCAGGTAAGCCTTTTGTGTGACAGTATATAAAAGGGGTGACAGGTCCTCTATATTGAGATATCAGGGGTCTAAAAAGACTTGTTATGGCCATGACTGACTGCTACACACCACCAGTACATGAACACGCTATCTGTTTCTGGTTTGTTAAAAATATATTACATTTTTGTTACATACATCTGGGGCTTAATGTTACCATACCTAAATTCTGCAGTCTACACAACAAGGGAAGAACAATTAACTTACATTCTTAGTGGAAAATGTTATGATACCACCAGACATAGGGGTAACTGAGGAGAGATCCATGAGCTCATCTAGGAGTAATTGCTGGCAGCCCACAAGGTGGTAGCGAAGTAAATGAATTAGCTGATTCTGAGTCCATTCTGCAATCTGTAATATCAATAAAATGCATGTTGACCAGGGAATTCTAATCTTAAGGATGTACAGCAGAGAAAAACTAAACTTAAAAAAGACAAAAGAAAACTTTAATGTGCATTTCTACTTCTGCAGTCAAATTTGAGAAAACTCGTGTTTGGTATGTGTTCCTATTCACACAGCATAATGAAAAATTATTTTTCTAAAAATGTTTTCTTTTATTTTTAGATGTCTCTGTGGAGGAAGTGTTTGGACAGATTGCAAGCTTCTCTGATCAATTTCAAAAGTGAGAAGAAACTAACGCTAGGGACACACAAAGTTATCTCTGATTAACATGCAATGCGTCCAGAGCCCGATTTCCCTCAAGGCTCAAACCTAGTTTAAAACTGATAATGGGATCTGCCAGCATAGTACAGCCAGGGTTAATTATGGTATTTAATTATGGTAAACATTAACCCCCTTGAATTCCAGAGGACAATTCAGTTTAGAAAAAAGTAATGCAGAAAAGTACACGCAAAATGTAAGCAGCAATTATATATTTTTTAAGTAATGCTATGTGAATGGCAACATGTAACAACTATAAAATAGGTCTTAAAGTATCCCAATTTGGCTGCAAAAGTGATATACACTTTAAACAGTCTGCACAAATAAGGCACCCATAAAAACAGGAGCAGATAAAAATAGAGATGTGGCTCAGAACCTGTCCCAGTCTTGTAATTCTGGGGTGAACTTCAATAAAATAGACACATTTACTGCAGGGTTGGTGTTTCTTTATTGCCAAGAATGCTTGTGTTGTGAAATCTGCCAGGCCTGCAGTGCTCTGGCTTTCCTTAAAAGGCCTTCCATGAGCTGACTAGACCCTATACTACACAAGAGTGAGGTATCTGCACAGACCTCTATAAGCTGCCTGTCTGTCCATTAGTTCATTTATGTGTGGTATATAGATGTCTGTGTAGCTGCCTTAAGCTTGTGCAATACAAGCCTTCAACCTGAGGTCTGGATTTTATATTAAGTGATTATATCTTGTATCTCTATGAAGCAGTTTATCACATTCAGGCAAAGCATTGCTTGGGCAGTGTCTCAAATTCTGTTTAAAGAAGGCATAATAAAAATTAACCCTTACAGTGGGGCTACCCCTGCAGTGCGAGGGTTAGCTGCTCATCTTGGTCTAGGTTCTTAAAAAAAAGATAAACTTGGCCGAACCTTGGTCCCACCTGGCTAGACCAGTCCCCCCAGGCTCTTCTCCCCCTGGGTTCTGGTGTTCTAAGGATCTGTGATTTCATCACGTCCGTTGACTTGCATTGGACATTAAGACTTGGATGGGCAGCTGAAGTGGAGGAGGAGAGAGGGGAGTGGTCAATGCCGCGGGCCTTAGAATCAGGCGACTGTATATTTTTCATTTTGGACCCTAAACCACAATGAGCAGTTAACGCTTACAGTGCAGGGGTATACCCGGAGTTCTTCTTTAAGAGTAGCCCTCGTCTAGTATGTTGTAATCTTAGTCTGCTGCAGATAGCAGGAAGCATTTTTTTTAGTCTTTCCTCATCAATGACCAATCTTTTCAAGGCAGCAGCAGCAGGATTTTCTTTCTAGCCTGTGATGGATCTTGACATGGCTGGTCATAGCATGAGAGTAAGAAGCAGTGAGCTGTGTGAGATTGGTGGTGGATTTCTATACTGGCTTATTAGAGGGGTATGTATGTATGTATGTATGTATGTATGTATATATATATATATATATATATATAAATGTACACAGCACATACACCAATCAGCCATATCATTATGACCACCCGCCTAATATTGAGTAGGTCCCCCTTTTGCTACCAGAACAGCCCTGTCCGGTCCAGGCATGGACTCCACTAGTCCTCCGATTGTAACATTATAATCAATGTTATTCACTTTACTTCTCAGTGGTCATAATGTTATGGCTGATCGGTGTATATAAACATATACACATACAGGCTGCCACACAGGCAAGGAGTAACATGACTGTCATCTCTGAGCCTGCATCTTGGTCCCAGAAGTAGATGTTGTTCTTAGATGAAGCCTAAACAAACATGGAGGCAGCCTTCGGGTGAGAGATGAAGCATTATTAAGTGGAGTGCTGTAATCTCTTTGTGTGGGTAATACATACTTGTAGTTGTCTAATTTACACATTACTTACCATCCATGATTGAAACATTTATGTGATGGTAGGCCTGCTTCAACATTTACATTCATGCCAAGTGGCAGGACTAACACATATGTAGCTAGCATTAGAACTTTCTGGGGACTAAACACTATAAACTCAGCATCATCATACAAAGTTGGTTATTTAGCTTTTTTTTTTAGGTCAACGTGAAGTACAATTAATACTAAACAGAAATAATTACCGTGCTGCTGTTTTCAATAGCCTCTTTCAATGGGACAAATACTGTGAAAGGCCCCTCTCCTGATAAAGCTTTAATGTTGTACCTCTGTAATCAAAATAATATGGCAGAGCATGGGTTACAATATATTCCTCTTGTTCTTATACTATCTAATAACTACAGTATACCCAAAACAGTACTACTCACCTCATTTAACCAATTAAAGCGGTATGCATCTTTATTGTACTGTAGCGTCTGCAAAGTTAAACAACTTTTAATAATAATTTTCAATATCATACTAACTATCTACCTTTGATCTGTGGAGAAATGGCGTGCAGTACATTTTTTCTGGCTAAACTGTTAAAAAAATGATACACCAACACACTGATCATACTGTAACTTAATCATAACCCCATCTTTGTTAAAATCATAACATGCTGTATATAATTGCTACACAAGTCTTTTTGTAATAAAGCTGAACTTTAGGCAGATACACTTTAAAAAACACAATTTAATGCAGTTTTAACACTTAAAGCTAAATGCATTTTTATACACTAGTGTAAGTACCTGAATCCGTTTTATATCAGCTTCCTGTAATCCTCTCATGAGGAGAGGCAGGGTCAGGAATTGATATCAATCAGGCACTGCTGCATGTACACGTGACAACATGAGAGAGCTGACTTGTTAGTGTGTTGCTGCTCCTTCATTGCCCATTCAGCAGACACTGAGGTGTTACGAATGTATCAGCAAAATTGGTGTCACACTTCTGGCTTTGCTGTCTGGCAGAGGTGTGTGAATCACAAAGATGGCTAAACTGAATTACAAATGCATTGGCAGATAAGAAAGTTCACCCATATCTATTTCACCTACAGGTGAAACTTGAATAATTAGAATATCGTGCAAAAGTAATTGCAGTAAGTGCTGCAAAAGGGGCCCAAACCAAGTACTGAGTACATATGCATGCTTGTACTTTTCAGAGGTCCGATATTGTTCTATGTACAATCCTTGTTTTATTGATTGCATGTAATAATCTACTTTTTTGAGGTTGTGGATTTGGGGTTCTTGGGGTTTTCATGAGCTGTAAGCCATAATCATCACAATTATGACAAATCACGGCTTGAATTATCTTGCTTTGCATGTAATGAGTCTATCTCATATATTAGTTTCACCTTTTAAGTTGCATTAGTGAAATAAATGAACTTTGCACGATATTCTAATTATTTGAGTTTCACCTGTATGTATTTAGCCCTTTGCCTAAAGTTCAGCTATAAATTATGTCTTTATATTCGACTCATTTTGCCTTAAACAAGTTAAAAGTTAGAACCTCAGCAATATTTCCTGTGCAATTCATTCCATCTCCAAGAAATCCTCGTTTACAGATGCAATAACGATTTGCTCTCCCTAACCGTATGCATATTGCATATGGGCTGCAACCTCCATTGTCCTAGAAGAAAATGAGAAATGGATGAGCAATAAAAATTGAATAGGGCTCAAGGCCTATCAACAAAAGAGTTAGTTCTTTGTTTCTGTCCTGTATTACTGATGTTTGGAAGGATTTGATCACCATGCGAATGCTTTGGATAAACACTATGGGTGGATTTATCAAAACGGGAGCAGACAGAATCTGGAGCAGTCGCCCATGGCAACCAATCAGCTTCTCTCTTTAATTTGTTTAGTTAAGAGTTGAAAATGAAACAGAGAAGCTGACTGGTTTCCAAGCATAACTGCTCCAGTTTTGATAATTTCCCCTCTGCATGTCCTATTCTACTGCATTTAAATTGTTTCCCCTCATAGAAGTCAATGCAAAAGCAAGTCAGAAGGAGTTCAGAGGAAAGTGAAAAGTATAACAGAAGTCACAGCAGTTCAAATGCAAACCTTTTCTCCTCTGTAAACATGCTGCATTTGACTTCTTTCTGAGTGTTAAAGTGACATTAAAGGCTATCCCTCCCAATCCTGCTGTAGGGACATACCTTAAGTGATGCCTCTTGATCCGATCATCTTCTCTCCAGTAGTCCTCCCAGCGCTGGTACCGGTCTCTGATCCAGCGCTGACTGTTGTGTCTTCTGTGTCCCACGGAGTCTGTGCAGGTGCACGCTTCTGGGCTGAGTGCATTGACGTACACGGTTCTTCCCCGGCTGAAGATCTGTATTGCACAAGTGCCTGCTCTTTGATCCTTCGCGGCCGCTTGAGAATCTTCAGATCTGCGCACAGGAGCGCACGGCAAAGACACAGTTAAGTGAAAGGAGAACTATGAGGCGAGTGAAAATCACTTAGCCTTATAGTTTTAGCCGACCTGACAATGAAACTGTCACAGGTCGGCTCAATAGATCGGGAAGTGAGCGAACACATGCCGTTGCTCGCTCACTTCTCCATCCTGTCCCTGCAGAGAGCCGTGACTGTCACTCACGGCTCCCTGCAGGGATTCCCCCCCTCCCCTGTACGCACCTCCAGTGCTCTAGATAGGCAGAGCCAGCTGTCACTCACGCAGCTGGGTGGATCCAGACTAGGGTTGCCACCCGTCCGGGTTTCACCCGGGCAGTACAGGTTTGCAATCATGTGCCCGGGTCTGTGCTCACCTCCCGCCCGGGCACATCATTCAAACGGTACAATGCCGCATACTAGCATGACTTGCGGCGGACACCGGGTGGCGCTGTCTCCCGTCCCTCGACTCTCCCTCTCCTGTGTCTCTCCTTTTTAACTCCAATGTCATTTATTTACAAAATACATGCATAGTGTATACTGTACAAACAAATCGCCGTGACACGCTATAGTGTTCGGGTTTGGCCTGAAGAAAAGGTGGCAACCCTAATCCAGACAGTAATGTCGGGATCCGTCCCGGCTGTGGCGTCTCCGTATATCGCTACAGCTCGCGGTATACTGAGCTTTGGGTGACGGGAGGACGCTAGTTTGTGTCCTCCCGTTACCCTTAGGAGAACTATGGGGAAAAACACTGACCCCATAGTTCTCCTTTAATACCTTTTTTTAATCATTTAAAACATTTTTTTTTTGCATATACCTACTGCTTGCTAGCAGTAGATATATGCAAAAACAAATGGAAGGTTTAAATGTTGTTTTTAAATGTTTTATTTTCTGAAAAATAAAATGTTGTTGCATGATATTCGCACAACACAACATTCCATTAAAACATTTTTTTACACAAAAGCACAATATAAATACTCATTTTGTGTAAAATTTAAAAAATTAGGTTGTGCCACGTAAATAGATACCCAACATGCCAAACTTAATTTGTGTGCGTGTGAAACGGCAAAAATCTATGGTACCCCAAATTGGTCATATGCTACAATTTAAAAGCCTGTACAGGTCATCAGTTTAGATGTAACTGTAAATATTGGCCCTAGAATTATTGCTCTTACACTGAAGTACCTGGCGATACCAAACATGTGTGGCGCAATTATTGTTTTCATACATAGGAGCACCCCACATGTCTTTGCGTTAGTATGTACATGTACGTGGGGATGGGGTATTTAAAAAAATTGTGTTTTTATATGTAACTTCTTTTTTCTACTTAACTTCACTGCTATCACATAGGGGGACTCACAAGCCCCCAATCTTATAGCACTTTAGAGATGACAGTTGCTCTTTGCAGTTCACTAAAGCTGATAAAGCATATATAGTGTTTGATCAGCTTTTTCCCCAGGCCTCTCTAGCTCTGTCAGCTCAGAAACCGGAAGTGATAAAATCATCATTGCTTCTGGTTTCATTCAGCGGGGAGGAGATCAACAAACGAAAGTCTGTTGTTCTCTCCGCCACCCACGATGCTGGTCCTGGGCATGCAGGAGGGGCAGCGGAGGCAGGGAGCACGGTGGGAAGGCACACGCTTATTGGCCCGTAAGACCAATCAGGCAGTGCCCAAATTGCTTCCCGACCCAACCCGACCCAATGGACAACCACTTTCAGTCTACTGGTGCTTAGATTGTTGTCTGGCTGCTTAAAAACCTCTGCACAGGGTGAGGCTGAGAGTGTGATATGTCATATTCTAACGGCAGTAGTGGGATTTGAGACTTCTGCTGTCACACCTCCCAGTGACTCTCTTTGTGGCACCTGACAGTGTCAACTGTGATAATACTGTCGTTGATCTTAACATAACATAGCCTAAATCAAGACAAGTAGCAGGGAAACTGTCAATATAGTCAGTACACTACAAGGGCCAGTGCTGTGGATATAGATTGTCAGGGAAAAGGGGGCAATAGAGAAGAGTTATAGTACCTTGTAATGAGCCTGGGCTTGGTGCGAACTCTGATCACCTGAGTTTGCCCAAGTCCACTCAAAATTATGACCACTACTCCCCTCCTGGCGCAGTCCATGGCAGAAGTTTCAGAGGGGGCATTCACCGTCCCTTTGTGACGTATAGCTGCAGAGTAGGGAATGTGCCTGCCACAACTGAATGGGCTGGGAGGGGGGTGAAGGTCACAGTTTTGAGCGGGTTTGGGCAAACTCAGACCAACTACTGTAGTCCAGGTTCATCACTAGTAGTAACAGCTATAATAAACTTCAGGATATTTTATCTGATTACATAATTGTTAGTGTGCCGTCAAACATTTACATTGCAACCCTAATATAAAACTTCTTTAAACTGTATTTCTACAGAACTATAAACCTCAGTTGTCTTGTCAGGTTTTTAATAGGGAGACCTTTTCTTTCTAGTTTGACTATTTTAGATGTGGGGATGCACTGGCGGTCCCAGCATGCATTTTGGATTGCTGGGCCTCCATTGCATCCCTGCACCTTTTGAGGCGGAGTAGGCCACCTCCAGGTACACCTGCATTTAATTTATCGACTGCATTAATATGCTCCCACATGGAGACTCCTATACATAGAGTTAAGACCACACTTCACAGAGGTGCATTGACGGGGCAGTGTGGCTTCTACATATTTTTGGCCAAAGGTTTGTGCAACTAAAACTATTTAACACATACTGTTGGCGGGGTAATTTGTTTTGTTGCAGGCTAGCTGGCAGGTGTGCTGGGAATATCTTTGCGTTTGTATTATTTAAATAGGGAGACACAGATTTTTTTACAGCCTCAGGTGCACTGCATTAGGCAAACAGGATTAATTTCAGAGTGGATGGGCTGTAGCAGAAATACTGAGGACAATAAATGTACACTGATAAGACAGCTAAACAAATGCTCTCTAGAGTTGGTCATGGTCAGTCTTGACCTCTCCAACCCTTAGGGCCCGTTCACACTATAGCATTGCACTAAGCACACACTTTCAAGTGTTTAGTGCACTCTACTGCACAGTGCACCTAGCAAAAAAAGCCAAACAAACCAAGTAGTGCATGCACTACTTATTTTCACTGCACTGCAACGTAACAGAGTATTGCGGTTCCTGCAGCACACAGCTACCCAGAGGTGTGTTGTGGTGCCATTTAAATGAATGTCAATAGAAGACACCTAGTGCACAGTACTGTGCAATTGGATGCAGTAAAGGCACGGTAATGTGTGCTTAGGCAATGCTATAGTGTTATGGGGCCCTTAATGATACACTACTGGATCTGCTTTATCTTCACATGCACACAGGTTTTCAATGTTTACTTTGCCTCAACAGCCTTTCTGACGTGGCCCCCCTCCCATCCCTAGGCCAAATAGAAGACGTAGGAGTGACACTAAGTTTACTGGAGCTTATAGATAAAAGAAGAATTATTTTATATCATAAAATAATAGAGAACCTCATCGCAAATGTTGATTTCTTGGCAGGACTGTGTACCATTTCCTTTGTACCCTGGAAGACAGTTGCAAGCAACCTGCAAAAAGAGAAAGAGTTTCAATGATCAAAACAGAAAAAGCTGCCATATGTGTATTATACACCATCTTTATACATAGGCCTTTCATAAATACTGGAAGACTTGTCTATACTTTGAACAACCTCCATATTTGAGTAAGGAGTATCAGCAAACAATGCCAGGCCTGGAATACATTTTACTCTACTGTACATGCTGCATATTTGCCAGGCTCAGAAGAATTTAAGTGTCCTCCAGTTCTCAGCCTAAAGCCATGAGCAAACATGTTCAGTTTGGTCCCCATAAGAAATACAATACCTTTATGCTGAAGTCATAGGGCTAAATTCCCCTACAAATACATTCCTCTATGTTTTTTCTATTGATTATAATATGAACATCCACTTTTGTGCTGAAAGACGATACTGTCTTAAAGAGTATATATATTCATCAGCACTTACCTACCGTATGCAGAGGCCTCACTACATTAAATAATAATCTACCTCATTAGTGGTTTCAATTGCAGCACCTCCCAAAAAAGGGCAACCTATCCAAACTGGCAAACAGCCCTGTTGCTGTTATATTCTGACTTGTCAAAATTCAACTAAGCCCTAAATTTCATCTCCAACCACTCTCTCTGGCCACTGATGTCTGCAGAGGGCAGTGACATGTAACGCCATAGAAAGGGCCAGGTTATCGATATCATGGGGGGCTGTGACTGACAGCCTGACTTTACCTTTTCTATCTTGCAGCAGAGATAAGATGGTGGCACCCAATAGTGGAATAACTGACTCTTGGAGAACAGGCTAAAGCAGAGTTTATGTTCACAGATTATGTACCAGTGATTTGTTAGGAGTGGAATATTTCATATTCATTGCTTTCTATAAACATTGGCAAATAAAGGAACTGCTGTAGTTAATTTCATAGTTAATATAACTCATTTTGGAAAAACCTCCACCCACTTGTGCTCCTTCTGCACTCTCAAGATGCCCCTACACACTGTGTTTCATATATTTACCGATTTCTCATACCTCTTATGGGCCTCAATAAATGGGGAAAAGACTTATACTACACTATCTGATAAAGAAAGGAAGAAAATACTGAAACTATCTCATGCCTCCTCCCTAGATCTAAGACAACAGAAATGAACTATATGCTCTTGTGGTAATATGTTCCATTTAGAGTCTACTGAATCAGTCCATCAGTACCAGCCAATTGTTGGAGAGGATGTCAATCCACACATTTGGTGGTACTGCCTGAATATACAGACATACTAGATGGAAATCCCTTTACCTACTTGATCAGTGGCATCATCATATTTTAGAAACCACTGGTGTTGCCTTTTATATGCCTGTACTCTCTCTTTCTCTACTCAACACTACAAAAACTCTGGTCCCACAACTCCTCAATGTTGCCAAAGAACGAATACTAGACTTTGGAGAATGGACAAACGCCCATTGATCTCTAAGTGGTTTCGTAAAATCGACCACATTCCCCATATATAAGAGCGCTTATACAGTTATAACGACACTTTTTTGACAAATATTACCAAAGGTGGGCTGGTTGGCTCGAATACAAACATTCCCCTACTTATGTTTTCCACATGTGTTTCAGGCCTCCCACCCATTCTACCCTGGACCTGGATAATAATGCAAACTGAGCCATGAACATTCCCTGGAAATACTATAATGAAATCTCCTATCCACATGCTCTTGTTAACCCTACTGGCCTCTCTCATCTCAGCTCAGCTAAACTAGACCATGATGGAATTCCTATTAATCATAAAATGTATAATTTTTCTCACTGGGCTATCTATCCCTCCCCTACCACCCTTTACCATTCTCCAAAGTGTGTCCTGTATGCATGCCAACCCCATCCTAACATACTCCTGTTCTTTGATCCTTGATATAAACGTACAGTGGTCTGGTTTTCTGACTGTGAACAGTATACATTTTTTCTGTATATCTCATACTCGAAACAATAAAAAGAAAACAAATAAAAAAATGTAACTCACTTTGTTTGGTCCAGTTTTTGTGCATTCTGCTTTTGGATGACAACCACCATTATTTTCCAAACATGCATCAATCTCTGTTCAGAAATCAAAAAATACATATAGATGGATACAAAATCAAGATTTTCCCTCACTTCCTCTATGGGTAAAAACAGTTTCACAGAATAGGAAATGATCAATCAGGGCCCCTACTGTGATGCCTGTTAGCACACAAGCATCCTCATCCATGCACCTGCAGCAACATAGGATGACTATACATGTAGTAGCAAGACAAGTATATGAAACATATTCCATAAACATTTTTCTGGTGATATTCCACTGAAAATAAAGTAAATTAAATATTTCAAACAAAAGTGTCTGTATTGTCCACAACAAATTGTTGTATATGTGGAATCTGGGCTCCGGCAGTCTAAGGTCCTGTAAGTCAGCACGGCTAATACACTTTATTAGACTTGAAGATGCAGAGAGACATACCGCAGCTGGAGCCCGGGGGAGAAGAGGCTGCTGGGATCAGTCTCAGTTTGGGTGAGTATCTCTTTATTTTTGCTCCCTAGAAAAAATGAGCAGTTAACCCTTACAGTGCAGGCGTACCTCCACTGTAAGTGTTAACTTTTAAAATTCCTGGAGATCTGCTTTGAAGTAGAGCCATCTAGTTTTAGAAGATTTTTAGGTGTAAAAGCTAGACCCTCACTGCCTTTTCAGGGTTCCTCTGTGTTTGAGAACTTCTTTCAGTTTCCTGTTTTCCTTATGTGCGCAATCTTGGTGGCCTCTCCTGGGTTTTCTCAATTCAGCAAGTTGTTAAACAGAAGCTGATATACTGAATAAATACTAGACTTGCAGGAGAGAGAACAGCAACTAATGTATTTCCATCTGGTCTACAGACTGGTAAATCAACATTTAGGAAGGCAATTTTGACCTTTCTATTTTGAATAGATCTTTAGAATAGATTAATAGACATTAATCCTCACCAAAACAGATGATTCCATCTCCACTGTAGCCATCAATGCAGGTGCAGCGTGCTTGTCCTAATGGAGCCTTAGTGCAATTTGCATAAACAGAACATCCACCATTGTTAGCAGCGCAGACATCAATCTCTGAATAGTATAAAATGATCACAATGAGAAACAGTCATTGTACAACTTGTATAACTCTTGCAGTTTTTACACATCATTGTATTGTATAGACAGATGCTTTTGATCTTAAACACTAAACTTCTCTATATACATGTTCTCTCTCTAATTTGAACTTGGTGACTGGCACACCATAGACCATTGCTCTTGTAACCCCCTGGCGGATAGTCCAAGCCATCCTTTGTGAACAAATTATGTTTATAGGTGTGTGCACAAAAGTACAGACACACACATGCCTGTATATATATATATACACACACACACAATATATGTATCATACTGTACATACACAGACCATGGCTTTTGTGTGAGGTGTATGTAATTGGCAAGGGCTGCTGTGCTCTGTATTGCTGAGCCAGTCTCAGAGAGAGATCTTCGTGATGTCTCCGCCAGCTCAGTGACTAAAAACACAGCGGCCACCTCTGTGGCTTTGATGTTCCGCTTGCGGTGATTAGGGTGAGCCAAGGCACACCCAGCACAACCCTTGCATACCTGAGAGAAATCCAGAAAAGAGAACAACTTTTCTATCCGAATTAAACTTTTTTGTGTAAACAGCATTTAAAAAAAAGTTATGCTGTGTGAATGAGAAACGTGTAGCAAATATAAAATAGGCGTTATTCCAATTTGGCTGCAAAATTGGAAGTACTCTTTAGCGATACGTATAACCAAAACCAGTTTTATAGAACATAAAAAGTCTAAAATGGGTTTAGGTGCTCTTTACAATTAAAGTATCACAGTATTGGGGCTTTTTTTCCAGGGTATTGCTGTCTCCCATGTAAATTCATTATGATCAGCACAACTCTTTTTGATTGTAAACTCTCACGGGCATGACCCCCCTAACCCTCGTGTCTTGAATTGCATCATAACTGTACTGTTCCCCTTTAATTTGTACAGCATTCGGCAAACTGTTGGCGCTATATAAATCCTGTATTATAATAATAATACAATTATGGTTGCCTGCAAGAGCTTGCTCTATTCTCCACTCGGAGAGCACGGATATCACTCATATTCAGAAAAGACAGGCTAGCAAGGTTTTTTTAATCATAAAAAATTGATTTTCGTCATCTCTAGTAATACACTAAAAGCTTTGATATGAAAAATACTCTAATTTTTACCTGGCTATTGTTAAGCCCCCTCACCTATATGTACTTGTCCCCAGTCATTCAGATTCTCTAATGTTAAAGGAGAACTATGGGGTAAGTGTTTTTCCCCTTAGTTCTCCTCTGTGTCACGGGAGGACATAAACTAGCGTCCTCATGTGACCCAACGCTCAGTATATAGCGAGCTACAGCTCGTAATATACTGAGACCGCCGCAGCCGGGACGGATCCCGACATTACTGTCAAGATCCACCCAGCTGCGTGATTGACAGCTGAGGCAGAGCCAGCTGTACCCGCCCCCTCCCCTGTCCGTTCCGCCAGTCAGCGCTGGAGGGTCGGACAGGGGATGGGGGGAATCCCTGCAGGGAGCCGTGAGTGACAGTCACGGCTCTCTGCAGGGACAGGATCGAGAAGTGAGCGAATGACGGTATGTGTTCGATCACTTCCCGATCTATTGAACCAAAGTGTGACAGTTTCATTGTCACACGTTGGCTAGAACTATGAGGTTGAGTGAAAATCACTCACCTCATAGTTCTTCTTTAAATGTTTGTACAAACCCTCACATTAGGCCCAACTCACAAAAATTTAAAGTGTATCTAAACCAAAACAAAATATTCAATAAATTGCAGCTTACCAGTCCTCAGATAAGGTGGAAGCATTTTTTTCTTTTCTTAAGGCTCTAGCACACTTTCTATCTGTCCATGTCGACTCTCACTTCTCCATCGTATCCATGGAGGGAGCCATGGTTGCCACATAGGCTAGACTTCAAACATGCCTCGCTTTATTCGTCTCACATGGTGGTTGATAGAACTAGCAGTTTACAAATGAAGGATAGCACTGTTTATGCTGTCTTTGCAGCTCATATGAAGTGATTTAGGGGGTAAAAGCCCTTTAAGTTGAAGTATCACCTAAACAGTGCCTGGCAACCAGTGACATGCACTAGAATTGTTGCAAGGGTAACATAAGGTAAGGTGAGCAGAGGAGGTCTCTCCATCATGGGCTAGCGCTAGCAGACAGACAAGATTTGAGTGCACGCAGTGCTAGGTCATACGTCATACGTCCCCGTCGAAGATGGCGTGGGGTGTCATATTGCTCTCTGTGAGAAGGGCAGGGAAACAGGGCTATTACCCCTGCTAAGAAGATGTCTTAGGAATCATGTGTAAGTGTTGACATGGGTCTTTCCAGGGAGAAAAACTATCTGTAACATATACAAAGCATATGTGCCTTCGGATGTGTCTGTAAAGTAACAGCTGCCTCTGACGTAGTCTTGCTGTTTCACCCTGTCAAAAGCGGGAACTCTGGAGAGCCCCCATGTAAATGGATAATGGTGACACCATATTGTCTACCTAAAGCCCATTATAAAGAACATTGCATTTCTGGAAAGATCAATTGTTATTTTCTGCAATAGCTTAAGATGTACTTAGCCAGGAAAAAGAAAAGCTGCAATATATTATATTTGTGTTTTAGGGTCTAGCTGCCCTTTAACACCAGCCTAAGGCACTCTATTTTCAGCCATTTGACTGTAAGTTTTAAGTTATAACTGTTATATTATATATTAACTGTTATATTTGTTATAATACCCCTAACAGTTGACCATGGAATATTTAGTCGCAAGGAATTTCACGGAACACCTGAATCCAATGATGTGGAGGAGTGTCCCAATACTTTTGGTAATATAGTGTATGTTTCTCCTCTGTACTATTCTCTACCTATGTAAAAAAAGAGCATAGTTCCAATTCTTTCATGCAACATGCAACACATATGTTACCAGGGAATTCCAGCTTATATTATGGTGTTTTCAAACAACACAAATGACCAAAGTTACCACTTAGATTGAAGGCTGCAGGGACTGCACTTCTCTACTGCTGCGTTTCCCTCTCACATGCAAGAGGAATTTGCCCAGATGAGGGCTCAGTTACAACAAGATGCATTCTAAAGAATGTGTACACAATTTGAAATCATAGCAACACATTATGCTGATATTAATAAAAGTGTTGTTTCAACTACAGTAACATATAGGACAGAGGCCCATACATCCATCCCATACCTGTACAATGTGTGCCATTTCCTGTATATCCTGCAAGGCAGAAGCATTTTCCGGTGGTGTTTTTAGGTCCTGGAATACAACTGAAAAGAATGAAACTGTAAAGAATCTGTTCCTCTCAATGTAATTAAACATAAAATCTGGTGAAAACAAAATGAGTTATCTTAAGGAAATCTGAAGGCTGCCAATGTTGACCTGTATTTGGAAGTTCTATACATTCTGAGCCAGTGACCTGGAATAATCTTGCAGCAAATGAAGCGTCAGGCCGGTGATTTAGAAAATGAAGTCATAAAATCAGCATCATATCCAGGCAACTAGTATGGTCAGAACACGTCACCATTGGCAGTCTTTAGTTTCCCCTATGCTCTGACAGTGTTCCAGGGCAGCCATTTATGGAAATTGCATAGAAGCTAAGTATATTGCACTTTGGGTATAATGTGTCCTAAAGAAAATTCTCTGTGTGCTTTCTACATATCAACCAATCAGATTCTTTAATTTTCTACCTGCACTACATATAAAAGGAAGTTTAAAAAAGAACTCTGGGAAAAAAATGTTCTTAACTTTTTGCAGTGGGGATATTTCCACTCTGCGAGGTTTAAGTACTCTTTTTTGTCTAGGGTGTAAAAAAACAAAGTTATACTCACCTGAACCTCACAGCCGGCTGGCTGTTAGAGCACTCCCTGCAGCATGTTTCATCCTCTGTGCAGCGATAAAATGTCCCTCACGCCCAATACACTGCATTAGACATGATGACTCACTGGCCCTTAGACCGCCAGTACAGAGGGGGAGAGAGGCTCCAGGGACTAGCCTAACAGCCAGCCGCCTCCGAGGATTGGGTGAGCATAACATTGGTATTTTTTCTCACAGGGAGGTCACTGTTATACGGTCTAAATGTATTATTTCATTAAAAGGTGTCACTTACTTGGCATTGAGGCTGCAGGTGCCATTGCATAAATCATTGTTAATATCTAAAAAAAATAAAATGTATATTTTTAAACTAAATTACATTCATAACCAATAGTGCAGACGGGTCATCTAACACAGTAGAAGAAAATACTAAAAGAATGAGAGTTGTGAGGTCGTAGCCAGTTCTCTATCCACGTACACACCACCTCATCTATGCCCATAGCCCTCAGCTTGTGTAGCTTGTGTAGCTTAAACGCTCAAAAAGTGTCTGTGATCACTGTAGGATATCATAAATAGGACACATTGTGACAAAACACACCTTAAAGTAACACTAAACTCTGGAGTTTAAAAATGTATTAAATTCATCTCTGAATTCATTCTGACACTGTCCTTCCTTCTGGAGGGTGTTTACTTTTGTTCCCCATGGTCCCTGTCTGTGTTGTAAAGTAGTCATTACTCCTGTGATGGACTACAATATCACATTTTGTTTAATAATTTGTATTGAGATTGTAGTCCATCATGGGGGCGTGCTTGGAGTAATGGCTACTTTACATGAAGGGGATTTATATTCTTTGTAGTTATGGAGGAGTATATTTGAATGAAAGTTTTTGTGGCAATAGGATTGAGAGGTGAGCGAACCCGGTATGTGCTCGCTCACCTCCCGATCTACTGAGCCGACCTGTGACAGTCTCATTGTCACAGGTCGGCTAAAACTATGAGGTGAGTGGAAATCACTCATCTCATAGTTCTCCTTTAAGTAATAGATGGAGATGAAACCTGGAAGTTGCATGGGTCTATGCCACATTGACTTTAGCTACATAGTAGAATTTAGAACTGCATGAAGAGAAATAGTTTGAATATGCGTGAATCTTCTTTAACAAAGGCCTGTGATTTGTGTATATATCCTACATACAGTTACATGATTATTTAGCACTGGGCCAAATAGCACACATGTATAAGCAGAGTAGGTACCTATGTCACAGACAGAACCAGTCCAGCCTTTATCACACTGACACAATCCATCCCCATGGAGTCCATCGTTACATTTTCCATGAATGCAATCACAGTCTGTAAAAAAAAAAAAGATACAGTATAAATAATAAAAATATGTAATAAAAATCTGCAAGATATGCTAAATATTTTGTAACTTTTTTGGGGATACAGTCATTGTGGGCGATAATGTAGTCTAAATTATGTTCACTTTCAAAAAAAAAATCAGAGCTAGAGCCAAAAACCCTTTTAAAGTAAAAAAAAAACAGAAAGAAACACTTGCAAATTTAAGAATATTAAGGATTTTACTGTTTGGCAATTCCAGTATTACAAATCGTTAGGCAAACTGTCTGTATTACAGGCAATTAGGGTCTTATGTTATATCACATGAGACCCAAATTGCCTATAATTACAGAAAGTTTGCTTTCTGGGGGGTGAAACAAGTGTTCTGATTGTTGGTAGACAACCACTTTGGACACTCGGCTAAAGGAAAAATGCAAAGCCCAGGCCTAGCCATGCACAGTTCCTGCCCTTGTTCTGACACAATTGTCTGTTTACAATTGCAATTAGGTCAACTCATCCTAAAATCAAGGGAATCATTTGGTCTTTTTTTTAACCTCTTATCTGTCACCCTGAATGATGTAAAAATCTCTCTAGATTCCTCTCATTTGCCAAAGACCTGACCCAGTCCTCTTTGTATAATTACCAGGTGACCTGCATTTCGTAAGACAGTTCTGATATGGAGCTATGAGTAAAATGCAGGAATTGCATGATTCCCAGCAGTTAACCTTTGCAGTGTGAGGTACCCCCACCGTAGGGCAGGGCCATGGTCTCGTTCACACCTAGGCGTATTGCATATGCGCGACCGTCGCGCGTTTTTTTACCGCAATGCGCGGTAAAAAAGTTGCGCGACCGTCACGCGTTTCCGAAGGCTACTTGGCTGTATCCCAATGGAAACGCGCAACAAAACGGCCCAAAGTAGTACCTGTACCTTTTCAGGCGTGGGCCGTTTTGTAGCGCGTTAGGGACAGGCGGAAATACGCCAAGGTGGGAACGAGACCTTTGAATACAATGGGATTTATATTTTTGAGCGTTTTGTAGAGCGTTCGTCGAGCGTAGAACGCGCTACAAAACGTTCAGGTGTGAACGAGGGCTTACAGCATCTGCTAAGTCCAGGAACACCTGCTGTGCTGAGCAATAGACATGTGTGATTCCTTTTGTTACGATTTTCGGAAATTTGGACATTCGGATGCATCCGAATTTCCAAATGAAAGGATTACGAATCCGAACGTATCCAAATTTTCCGATAATGAAATTCGAAGGCATGCAAATTACTTTCCAAATGTCACTCTGAAGGAACTTTTGTTGCAGAACGTTAAAATAAAATAAACATAGTCAGCATTGAACCTCTTTACCACAATCCTGGCCGGTGGTTGTGGGGGTCTGTGGGCAGGGGGGCGTATCTGAATCTGGCCGCCCCCTTTCATAAAGTCCCAAATACTATTTGGGAGCAAAGCAATCATAATGACCCCATGCTTTTTTTTTCTTGTTTCTGTGGACTGTCAAAAAAGTTAAAAAGAAAAATGTCCCTTTTTTTTCTAATGCCGATTTGCTACATGGAAAATTTGTTGGTAATTATCTATTGCATCTGAAAGTAATGAAAATTTTGGATTCGGACGAATCCAAATAATGAAACAAACTGACTTTTGGACCTAAATCTCTAAAAAGGAAATAACGAAAAATTTGAAACAAAAGTAAACAATTTTTTTGCCGGCACACATGTCTACTGAGCAACTGTGCTGTTAAAACACAGCTGGTCGCTCACTCATGCACAGCAGCCACTTAGAAGATGCCTCTGATGTCACTGCCCCTCATCCAATTACAAAATGCCTAGTATTCATTGAGAAAAACACTAGGCATCCTCTGAATGGGGACCTGGTGCGTTTTAACAGCACAAGTCGCTGAGCACAGCGGCTGTACAGGACCCAGATGACACTGTGATACACTGTAGCAGCTGTGGCTACTACAGTGTATTACATAACCCTTGTGGCCCTGCCAGGGATGATCGCATAGTTCGCACGATTAACGCAGTACTGCACATTGTGGAATGGTCGAGGACATTTTGGGTGGGAGATGCGTTTGGAATGCTATTCAAATAAATGGCAACACAATGCACCTCTGGCACTGTTAATGCATGGTATGTGCATTTCGCGGTACCATGCATTAACCGCACAGAAGCGTGCGATTAACACTCAGGCTTGGTGTGAATGGACCCTTGGACAGTTTGGAATTGACAGTAAGTGCAAGAGGGGGACAGCAGCAGGGCAAAAAGACTGTATGTTCTAAATACACCCTCTGTACTTTGATGATGTTTTTTCGGGCATGTGTAGTAGTGTGCACAACTTGCTAAAGCCTTTTTATGGCAAAAACTGTTTTGTTTTGTATACAGCGGGGAAGAGTAAAAGCCTCTCATGTTTTTTTATTGCTGTTTATGTCCCTATTCTGCAATGGAGATGCAAGTAAAAACGTATTTTAGTCAAGTCAGTAAAATAACATTGATTTGTATTGTTCCATGCGGCACCCTGTCACAGTAAAAAATGCACCCCATATTTTGGATGTCATCTAGACTGGAAACAAGAGAAAATATCCTCAGTAGAGTCACAAAAAGAAAAAAGAAACAGTATGTCGCCTATTAAAGATCTTCATAAAAAGTAAGATCTGTCATGTATTTTTTTAAAGTATGAATATAGTTAAAATCACCTGCTTTGCAGTCAGCGCCGTATCTTCCAGGTTCACAGGTTTCACACGCAGTTCCATGAAAACCCTCTTTACAGATACATTCTCCAGTGCCCGTAATGCTATCTTGGCACTTTCCATTATTAGAGCAGGAATTGTTCAGACCTCCTGAACACAATATACACTGATGTCCATAATATCCTGTACAGCACTGTGGAGTCTGGAAAGAAAAATTAAGTGTTTACCTAAAGATTTGGTATTGTAGCACCATATTAAGCCATGATAGGGTCAGAGGAAGGTATAACTGTAAATGTCTCAGCAGCCTGCTGCCCATTGCCTCCAATTAAAGTGCAATTCACAGGAAATTTTGTTGCAGATCATTCAGGGCATACCCTTACCCTAATGGTACTCCACAAAAAACAGTTTGAGAAACACTAATCTAGAAGAACTGTGAATGAGAACATGGTAATCAATCCAAGGTTTGTTATGGGTGGTCAACAATCCAGGTGTCAGAGTTTTTTTTTACAGCCGCCTAACAAATATGAATTGTAGGTCTCTGGAACCAGTAATATCCACCCTTATGACTTCTATGATTTATTTGCATTTTGGAGGGTAACTCCACCCAGACACTCCCACATCTAGTTTATTCAGGTATTTGATTATCCTAGGGCATGAAGAATCACTAGCGGGACTGTGCACCATAATTTGTTTCAGTTGCAACAACCAGGTAAAACCACAGATAGAGAGATCCTTGTGGGGGGCAGAGACTGATTGGTCCAGTATTTGTTATAAAGCTCTAGAATATAGAATATGGTGGTGTTATGTAAATGTGTAAAATTAATGAATACATATAAATATGTCTTAATACATGAGTACTTCAAAAAGGTTCATAGACCTTTAAGGGTAGTTGGAGATGCATTCTAACCAGTAACACTTACTACTAAGTATAACAATGACAAGTAGGACAGGTTTTCAGGTGGCTAGCTTGCAGAGATGTATAGGTCCCACATGCATGAGATCCAGCCAGTCTATTGGTAACTTAAAGAGACTCTGCCATAGGAGGAAGGGGAGGACAACTGCTACAAATGTAAAGGGAAGGGACCTGTACATATCTGCAGCACCCACCATAACCTTCCTGTAATGGCAGAATACTGGGCTGCTCTGACAGGCAGAGTTCCAAGACTTATGAGTAATGATGAAGCTTGCAGCTAAGCTCTGCTTCCATGCATTCCTATCGAGCTATCACTATGATGGCAACTTCAATGGCCAGTAAAAATATGTAACATGCAGGAAGGGGTAGGAAAGTTTTATCATTATCTAGCCTGTTGCAGGTACAAACTGAACTTAAACCTACAAGTAATGTGAGTCAAAGTAATGTGTGACTGTAATAATTAAAGCATTTTGCTGAATATACAATCTTAGACTTAGTTCTCATACTGAAAGCAATGTACTTACAACTTTTGTAAAGATACATTTGTATCTGCAACCTTGAACCTCCTTGTTCCTTCTTTTGTAGAGACATTTTTCTGTGCCCGGAGGTTCCTGCATGGGAAACATATACTGTTAATTCCTTCTACAGTGTACATTTTTTAGTTCCTTTATCACAAAAATGCTAATCCTCACTATATGTGTATAAAGCATGTCACACATAGGGTAGAAATTACTGCACACTTTCTGCATCCTAACCATTATTATCATGCAGCGGCCATATCACCATGTAATACCAGGAAATAGTAGAACAGGAAATTTTCTTAAATCTTCTTTTCATAAAATATATTTTAGACAGAACTCCATTCAGACCGTTAAATACACAGTTGAAATGCATCTGACATATATTTGTATTACCTTCTCAATGATTTATACTTCATTTTCCACACTGTACAGCCATGTTGGTGACATGCATAGGTCTCGATTAAGCAACTTACCTCAGCATTATTATCTCTATCCTATGAGCATTAGCTGACCTAAGAAGCAGCAATACCAAGCCAAGAAGCAGCAGAGTGAACATACTGACTAGCAAGGATATGTGTATCATAGGACTGAATATAAAGAATTACAAATCCTTTGGCAGGTAAAACAGCAAATATATATGTAGCTGCTTACTTGGAGATCCATTTTAAGGGGACCTAATGTCCAAGTATTGCTGCTAGCATTCTGGATCCTCTCTGGTGGTCAAATCTAAGTAATATTGTTGTGCACACACATTTGGGCACTTCATAATATCCAAAGAAGAAAAGTTTTTGTAATGCACACACAGGCATTAATGTTATAGATATTAGCTTCTAATTAAGTGGTACTCCAACTCCAAATGCTAACAAAGTGCCCAACCACTCCTGGACCCAAAAGGGTTAATTATCTGTTCTACATCCAAATAGATGTCCACTGCTACAGTATTCCAGACATGAGCCATGAGTAGTTATCAACATTTATCAATAAAGTCCACAGTCCAAAACTGATACCTGTAATAAATAAATAAATATGGGCTCTTACTGTTCTATCCACAGATCTCCAATGCAGTATATAAAAGTATCTGGGTTGATCATACCAATGGGGAAAGTTTTGTTGTGACAAAGCATGACACATTATAATATGTTGTTTATACATACTGTGCTGCCACATTGTGCTCAGTATACTCTATATATACAGGAAATTATTATGTCTGAACATGCTTTTTAAATGGATATACTTTATAGGAAATGCCATTGACAATTAAAGTGACACTAAACTCAGGAGTTAAACCCTGAAATTGCATTCAAGTACCTTAAGCCCTCATTCACACAGGAATTGGCCCTCACCTACAGCTCCGTGCAGGGCCGTACAAAACAGCTCCCGGGAAGGACAGGTGCTACGTGTGATTAGTACGCAGCCCCCGTCCTTGTCTATGGGACTACGCGGCCATACGCCCCCCTATGCTCACCTCAAGTGCAGGTCCGTAGGGGGGCGTGTTTCCTGGCTCGGACGCAGACAGGATTCATCCTGTCAGCGTACGAGTGCGCTCACCTGCACGGATGTGCAGGACGGTGAGCGTAGGGGGGTGTATGGGCGTGTAGTCCCATAGAGGACAGGGACTGCGTACTAATCAAACGCAGCACCTGTTCTTCCCGGGAGCTGTTCGGTACGGCCATGTACACCGCACATATCTGTACGTGCAGGCCGATTCCTGTGTGAATGAGGGCTAAATATTAACAACAATGCATCTTATTTGTGTATCACTCAGCTATTGATCCTCAAATCATCTCTGAATTCATGCTGGCATTGTCCTTCCTTCTGGAGGGGGGCTACTTTTGTTCCCCATGGGACCTGTGTGTTGTAAAGTAGCCACCGCTCCAAGCTCGCTTCCGTTATGGACTACAATCTCAATACAAATTAGTAAACTAAACGTGAGATTGTAGTCCATCACAGGAGTGACAGTAGCCACCCTCCAGAAGGAAGGACAGTGTCAACACCAATTCAGAGATGATTTGAGGATCTACAGCTGAGTGATACACAAATAAGATACATTTTTGTTCATAGTTAAGGTACTTGAATGTAGTTTTGAGATGTAACTCCTGAGTTTCGTGTCACTTTAATGAAAGGTTATGTTTTAAGGTAATACAGTAAACATCCAGCCAGACACTTCTATTTTTTTTATTTAAAAAGAGCGGAGAAGGCCCAGAACCTCTGTTAGATTTTTGTTGCTGTTTGGGTATATTTCCCCTCATTTGTGGTCATTGGGACAGCAAGTCTGCAAAAAAATGCAATAAAAGCACTCCAATATAAGGTTGGAACCTATGTTAGAAATGTATTGCATCTTGTACCCCTAATGTTTAAAGTGGGCAGGGTTTTCATTGTTGCCTGTGTCCTTGTTGAGGTTTCCCTTGACTTCCTGTTTGGTCATTGAGACAGGAAATAAAGGAAAACCTCCCTCCTCCACAAGGCACAGTCAGCAATTAAAACCTAGCGTTCTATCCCTTCCCCACTTTCTCCTAAACTGAAAAAAATCTTCTGGGCTGGAATCTTACTTTAGCAATGTTTACTGACTGATAGTTAAGACATTAAATGACACACTCACCTCAAGATCTGTTCCTTCTGGACACTGTATGCGTTTGCCACAGGCGCTGCATTTTATCTGTAGAACAAAATCAATATGTTTGATTAGAAAAAAATATGTTTTTATATGTCCTTAAAGAGGAACTCCAGGTATTTCAAAAATTAACCCTTGCAGCGGGGCTACCCCCACATTGCAAGGGTTAACTGCTCGTTTTACTCTAGGGAACCAGAATAAAGCAGACTTAATAACCTGATCCTTGGGTTTCTCTTCTTGGCGGCCGGGAGCGGGGGGGCTCCCAGAGTGCCCGGGAGATTTTTTCAATTTTTACATTTTTTTTTTTTACAGCAGCAGAGCCGCCGGACAATAGGAAACTATTGGGCGGAGCCAGCTGTCACTGCTAGCTCCGCACAATCGTTTTCTATTAATTTTTTTTTACTTTTTTCACTCTTTTTTTATGTTCTGCTTGGTGCCTCTGAGGGACCGAGCAGAACTGCCGAGCCAAATGCCGCTCTGCGGCATTCTGCTATTCTCTCACTGCTGTTCGGGATCTTTCAGAATAGCCCGAACAGCAGTGTGAAGCCTGCCGGAGGTTCGGCTCAGCCGATCCAGATGTTGGATCGGCTGAGTCGAACTCCTTCTGCACTTCGGGTCAGCCGAACATGCTGAGCATGTTCGGCTGATCCGAAGCCACACGAAGCAAGCCGATGTACGGCTGATTTCAGCCGATGTATGGCTGAAATCAGCCGTACCAGCCTGAAGTGAATAGCCGAACAGTGTTCGGCTCACTTCACTTCTGATCGGTCATTCACTCGGCTGCCCTCGGCAGCTTTGTGAATAGACCCCTTAGTCCTGCAGTGGGGAGTGCTCGCCTCTATTCCCTTCTGCTCTGGCTGTGGTATGTCCCTCAGCATCCCTGCCCCCCAGGCACAATATTTAAAGGAATTTTCAATTTTTACTGTGTCACTTTAAGCAATTTTAAAATCACTGCTCCTTTAAAAACTTTATTTTTTAAAAGTGTTTTTTTCATTGATGCACATCCCCCAGGTCAGTACCCGAATCCCCATACCCTTTTTATGGCCAATAACTTGCATATAAGCCTTGAAAATGGGGACATTTGATTTTCAGAGTTCTGGTCCCATAGACTTGCATTGAGTTCGAGGTTCGAGTTAGAACTTTTTCCATGTTCGAAAGTTCGAACTTGAACCGAACTCGGGTGTGTTCGGCCCATCACTAGTATTCTCCTGTGAACCTGACCATATTTAGACAGATTATCAGAAAGTAAGCTCTAAAGCAACCTATCTTGGTGTTTTGGACAGCTAAAGAATGAAATCAATTTACCTTGGCAGGTATTTATCCAGTTTATGGGAACATTAGAACTAAAGCAACCTAACTTGGTAGAACTTTGGTCAGCTAATTAGAACTAAATACATTTAACTTGCCAGGTATTTAGCTGGTTTATGAGAATATTAGGATGAAGCAACCTAAACAGGCAGATATTTGGACTGTTCATGAGTATTTTAGGGAAAAGAGGCACACTAGAATGGTGATAGTAGAGTCAATACACTGCTTGATTCCAGGGATGGACCCTCAATAAACCAAGCATTGTTGGTCAGTAAGAAGTTTCTTGAAAGTCTCTCAGGGATCCCAATCTGAGCTTTTTAGGTTGTGGCATTGTTTCAGCAACTGAAAATATCTAGTTTTTACACTTTAGGCCACCTACTGCCAACTTTTATCCTAGGATGTGGCTCACAATCTAACCAGGGTTGAAGACTTCTCCCTAGCATGATGCGCTGAAAAGGACTCCTTCCTGTTAAAGATCCAGTTAATTATAGGCCTATATTACCTTTTTCTCTATTGTTACTGAAATATCACAACGGTTATTCAAGACCTTTAGGACATCAGATATTCCCATGAGCATTCCATTTTTCGTTTCATAAAAGTTGCCATCCAGTGGAATATCATGAACAAATGTCTGTAAAAATAAAGAAGAAAACGGTAACTTGTTTATACCTGTCCCACCGACGTCAGAAGTCAGACTTGCAGAATATTGTGAGTCTTGTGGGACAAATTCCCTTTGCTGGTCACAATGATGGATGGATATCATTTTTAATTTTTTTTAACATTTGGATAAAGAAGGGTTAGCACCCCTGACAAATGTTATTGCTGTCTGTGCCCCCTGTTGGATATTTTCACCCAACTTATTTGTCCTGCTGATCATCGTCAAGAAGATAAAAAGTGAGTGAGTTGTTACCAGAATAGAAACAGAGGGCACATATTCCAATGGGGACACTTGCTATGATGGGGAGGATTTCCCCTCATTTTACAGATATTTAGTTTTATTTGTTGCACATACAGCACAAGAAGTGGAGGGAAATCTCTCCAATGGGACACAGGCAGCAAAAAAGAAACTGGCAGGAGTTTTAACCCTTCTCTATTCTATCCAAAACTAAAACTATTATCTAATGAATATTAAATCGCCAGAATGTTGACTTTCATAGATTTTTGTACTGTACCTGGTTGTACCTTTTGAAAAACATCAGCCAGTCAGATAAGCCCAGCATGCTAGATCTATGCATTCCATTCATTAGGTCTGCAGGCATCAGCTTCTCACCCAGAATGATGTGATACTTTATTGTGCTGTTATCCTAAAATACACAAGCTCAATTTAGCAGTTCAATTATATGAGTGTTTTTAACATGAATGCAGGGATAAAGATGGATACCATATATTAAGTGTAAATTAGGAAATACTGCATGTCAGCAATATACATTTTCATATCCAGGCAGATGAGTTTTAGGCTCTGTGTGTGTTTTCCCAGCATCCCCTTACCTCCTGTTTTGAAAAGCCTGTTGTGTACAGAACTCAGTAGTTCAAGCTGAAATTTAGAGTGAATGAGTCAGAGCAGTGAATCCCCCTAACTGCCCCTTCCTTCAGAAGACTATCAGCATTTTCAAAGATTAAGTATCTGAAAGGAAGCAACTTTTGCCCTGTTTTTTCCGCCCTCTCCCTGCAGCACCCTCAGGCGGCCACCTGACTTGCCTTGCGGTAGCACTGGGCCTGACTTCTGCTCATAATGCTTTGGAATTGCTGTGTTCTGGGTGCATCCTGTAATAAATTCTTATTTGTGAAACAATTAAAAAAAACCTATATGGGGCATTTTTATGAAGCAATGAATGTACCATTCACTAGATACTCACTGCAGGTGAAGCAATCACTGTAATTTAAAAAGAACTACAGGCAAAAGTTTTATTAACCCTTGCAGTGGGGCTACTCCTGCACTGTAAGGGGTAACTGTTAGTTTTTGTCTAAGTGCCTCTCTCCGCCTACAGCATTGGAATGTTGCTCAGTGTCCTCACGTCTATACACAGTGTATAGAATGTACTGATTTACGGGACCTTAGACCACTGCAGCAGAGGGGTAGAGATGCTGGAAAGATCGGTTTAAGAGCAAGCCGTCTCGGAGATTCAAGGTGAGTATAACTTTTTTTTAGCACCTAGACAAAAATGGGCAGTTAACTCTTGCAGTGTGAAGGTAGCCCCACTGGAAGGGTTAATAAAAGTTTTGCCTGGAGTTTCTTCTTTAGATCAAACACACCAGGAAAATTCCCCTTCAGCGCATGTCACATTCAAGGTTTTTAAATATATCCCATAGCGCTCTGGGATTCCTGAGTCCTGGGTACAGCCTGTATTAAATGTTTACTAATATTATTATTATACAGGATTTATAAGTTTGCGCAGCACTTTACAGCACTTTACAATATAAGGAAGATATTACAATCACAATACAATTCAAGACAAGATGGCAAGGAGGGCCCTGCCCCTGATGGCTTACAATCTAAAAGGGAGGGGTGTGTGATACATGAGGAGGTAGCTGTGTGGGGATGAATTGTTTGAGAAAGTGATAGTTCAGTGGTTAGGTTGAGGTGGGATAGGCTTCCCCGAAGAGATGAGTCTAAAGGGATCGCCTAAAGGCAGTCAGAGTGGGAGACAGACGGACAGGTTGGGGTAAAGAGTTCCAGAGGATGGGAGAGACTCTAGTGAAGTCGTGGAGGCATTGGAGGAGTTGACGAGGGAGCTGGAGAGCAGGAGGTCTTTGGAAGAGCGGAGGGAACGTTTAGGGTAATACTTTGAGGCAAGGTTTGAGATATAGCAGGGGGCAGAGTTGTGAATGGCTTTGTAAGTCATTGTTAATATTTAGAATGTTATCCTTTGGAAGCCAGTGCAGGGAGCGGCAAAGGGGGGTTGCAGACACTGAGTGGTTGGTTAGGTGAATGAGTCTAGCAGGAGCAATAATGAATTGTATATAAATAAAATAATGATTGTATATTTAAGGTACAAAAACATTCATAAAACATCCGATAGAAAAGTATAAACTCAAAATACTGCACGTGGCAAACTTTTTCATATTTGTTTCATTGCAGATTTGAATCTGATTATTTGCAGATCTGGTCATTACAGACACTTGGATAGTTAAGACATCAAGTCTCATATGTGCAGTTGCATTAGGATTTCTGTCTCCATGCCGTGGGTAGTGTGTAGCAGTGTGAACAGAGAGAGGGTTTAAACCTTTTACTTCCTTATACAAAATAAACATGTGAAAAATACAAGCAAATCCCAATAAAAAAACATAGTTTAAATGCTTTAATGGTTTATATTTAACATTGATATATGGTTACCATGTTGCTCAATCCAGATTGATTGTAAAACTTCTTTATAGCAGAATTATCAGGAACAAAAATTGTATAGTGCTGTGATGCTTCAATTTCCTGAACGAGGCCTGATTTCTGTAGAAAGGAAGAAATGTTAGACTTGCCTGCCCCGAATACTAGGCTGGCCAAATATATCTGTATGTCTGGTCTCGCAGATGAAGATTATACCTGGTTGGGTTAAAAAAAAAGAAATAATTTAAAGCCACTAGATGGAGCCGAAGAGCATGGGAAAAAAATATACATTTCCTAAGCTCCTCAGCTCCATCTAGTGGCCCTATTGCCAGGGCCGGATTTACTTTCTCTGCCCCAAGGCCAGGTTCTTCAATGCTCCCCCTACCCGCCATGGAGAACGGCAGGCTTGCAGGCTATATACAAGTCATCTCATTGACATTGCCGAGGTCACTTGTACAAAACAAGTGGCGACTTCCACGCTGTACATTTAGCTCTGCTTGACCAAGTAGAGCTAAATGTAGAAAACATCTACCCGCCCTGGCGGCCGAAACTGCATGTCCCGGGCATCGGGAAATAGGAATTCCACACCCCTGTTGCCCCTCTACTCCTTGCTGCCCCAAGGCCGGGCCTTGGTTGGCCTTGTGGGAAATCCGGCACTGCTTAATGCAGTGTGTTCCGACAATTACATTCATTCTGCAGAAAAAAAACATTTGCAGGGTTATTCACTAAAAGGTGAAGAGTTTGGAGAAGGCAGGAGAAGTGAACAATCTGGGACAAAATAGCTGATTTGGGAAAATTCTCCAATTCAGCTCACTGTCCAGTTCAGCTATGTTGTCCTAGATTGTTCACTTCTCCGGCCTTCTCCAAACTCTTCACCCTCTTGTGACTAACCCTGTTGATTTTGCTCTATTAGCACAGGACAAATGTAAATGTCAGTTTTGCAGAATAAATGGGTCTGTAAAACTTTTTAATTAATACACCCAAAAGTGTCCCTGGAAATGTTATTCACATCTGTGTAGACAAATAAATATCGAGTTCATGCTGTGAGGTGAAATTGATACATTGCAGGACAGGACATTGTTGCTTGCATACAGTATGTGACTTTATGTGATACAAACAATAAAAGAACCATTTAGCACAAAAATAGAAACAGAAGACATTCATACAGAAACACAACAGTGTGAATGAATGAAATCAGAATTGTTGATAATAAGGGAAATTGTTTAGCACACAGCAGAGTATTTGGATATATACGACTTTTTGCTTTTTACTGTTTATTTAGTAGAGTCATACCCACTCAAAAGTGAGGTGAGACTATCACTGACTGCTTATTAATATAAAGTGAAAAACGTTAAAAATGCTTTTTATATTCCATTGCATCCTTTCAACTGGTAGGACAGTTATTATGAATAAATTGCAACTATCTCTAATTCTAACAATAGGAGTGGTAGCAATAAGTTAGCATGTCTCACATATCCATGTGAGAAAGAAATAATTCTACCATCTTTTCATCATTTGTTTTCTCTGTCTTCTTTCATGTATATAGATTGTGGGAAACCTGGCCTTACATTTAGCACTTACCTCTCCTACCTATCCAAGAAGACATTGACTTACCTGCATTTCTAGTTTAAATTCTTCCCAAGATGGATTTTGTTCTAATTTTTGTAACAGTCCTGGTTTTCTTGGAGGTATATTTCCTAATGGCGGCATCAAAACCTGAGAAGACAAATCTGTTTCATTATTAGGTCTTAGGCATCAGAGACCATTCATTGAAAAATATTTTAATATGTGCATTGTAAGACCCCTATGAGATGGCATTAAAGATATGTAAAATAGTTTAAAAAAACCTAAGGTTTTTTTTAGAATTCCCCCTACGCACACACACAATAAACACAAACATGCGTCTGCTGCGCCAATGTTCAAAGACGATGAATGTGCCACAAATGATGGGTCTAGGGTCATTATTCACAGTTAACGCTAAATTGAAAGTGTTGCCTATGGACAATTTTGGGGTACTGTAGTTTTTCACAATTTCACGGTTGCACACAATTTTAAAGCGTGAAATGTTTGGTATCTGTTTACTTGGCACCACCTCATCTTTTATATTTATTGGGGGTATTATGCTGTGTTGTAATAAAACTAATTGAAGTGTATTTTTACTGAAAACAGTTGCACCAATATATTGCGACATAAAAATAAAAATTACAACTGACACATTTTTATTTACCAGGGTCTCTGTTTTAAGAAAATATCTTTTCTGGTTTTTTTAGGTAATCTTCAGGCCTAAAATATACATTTTAACATGTGTGGGTGTCACCAAAACAGAAAGGAGCAAACAGCAGGTAAACCTGACCTAGGTTTTATTCCTACCCTAAAATATGTGTTTTGTTACTTTTTGTGCCCTATTGGACAGATTTCTTCCTGTCACTTCCTGTCTCTCTGTGTCCCTGTTGCTGGGAGAGGAAGTGAAACAAAATCTCTCGACTAGGGATGCAGTCAGCAATAAAAACATGACAGAGCTTCTAGCCCTTCCCTACTTGATCTAGAACAAAAATAAAAGAAGTAGGGCCACGTCCCACCTGCAATCTTTTCATTAACATTCCTCGGTACAATTTCCCATGCGGACATATGTATGTCAAAATGCAAAACTAGCAAGTGGCACCACCATATACAGCAGCTGCTAGTTACAGCACTGTACCTAACAGCTGTCATGTCAGATACAACAGTCAGAAACCAATCAACATGGTCCTGATCATGTGGTCACTGACAGGCAGGCAAATATAGTGATCACATGGGATTATTTACAAACAAGCCAGTACCATCTGGATTAACTGTCATTGTGTTTGGCACAGAAAGAGACACTTTGACAAAAAAAAATACCATTAATGTAAAACTTTAAAAAAAGTTATTCATAAACTGATAAAATATGAATTTAATTTGTTCTCCAAAAACAAAAAGCCTTATATGTTTTTGAAAAATTATTTAGGTTGTCAAATTAGTCATGGACTTATAGTCAATAGCCATAACCAACACATACAAACACGACACAATTTGGCCTGGTTTTGGAGGTATCAATGACCTCTGGTAAGGAAAGAGATAATGAACAGAAATAGTTCAAAGACAAAATAAAAAGGTACTGGTAGATTGTTTTACTATAAAACTAAAAACTACATCTCACTTATTCAAAAATACAAAAAAAAGTGAGAGGTCATCAGGAACCGGGACTTTAAAGATGTCTCAAAATCATCAGTAGATGAAAATTCAAATCGTACATATAAAAGCATCTCTTTTATTTTACCAAATATATAAAAAATATATTTTTGGAAGCCTAAAAGGTATAGATTACACAAACCCCCACAGTGGATGGTTAAAGGGTAGTTTGTACAGGTGCACACATTCTGTGATGCTTCATTGTATTATATTCTATATTTGTCTGGGAACATGAGTTTTAAAATGTGATTAACTGGTAAAATAAAAGTAATGGTTTTATGTATATGATTCTGATGTTTGTCTAATGGTGATTTTGTGAAACATTTAAAGTGTTGCTTCTTGATGATCTCTGTCTTTTTTGTATCCTAGACTGTATGTATATGTTATTACATCCTCAAATACTTTGGCATGCCACTAGCACAGTCACCACTATGTAAATATCAGCTTTACACAAAGCCTGCACTAGCAATGCACAGTGGTTTATTGAATGTACTGCAGATAGCTGAGGTTCTCTCTATTATGCACATTAACAGAAACTTGTTATGATGCCAGATTTTACTACTAACCTGTCCAATAATGAAAATAAATCCATTTGAAGCTGGAATATCTTGAGTAATAACCCTTGCATTATTAATTGTCAGATTCTGAAAAATAAAATAACATTATCCTTTAAATTCAAGGTTGTGAAATGAGTAATGCTGTCTTTGTGTCAGGGAAATAAAGCCACTTTAGGATAATGATGTTAAAATATATCCACAGACAATTTTTTTTTTTTAGTTTTGAATGGATTAGGAAAATGGTTAAAGAGGTACTCCAGCTATTAATAAAATTAACGCCTTGCAGTGGGGTTTCCCGAGCACTGCAAGGGTTAACTGCTCCTTAGTGTTCATTTTTGTCGACTAAAACCTTTCCTCTTAGTTTTCATCAGCGGCATGTTTTCAGTGATGAAAACTAAATGAATAGGACTAAAACCATGACAAAAATACATTGCCATTTTCTCTACTGGAAATGTAGGGGTTTATTCACGTAGGAGCCGAAGGATCCAGCCGTAGCTTCGGCTGATCCTTCGGTTCAGTCAAACCAAAGGTGGGTGAGCGGCTCTGCCGAGCCGAACGCGTGTGCTTCAGCTCGAATGAGCCGAAGTGACACCCGGAGCGGGGCGAACGGCTTGCCGAAAACCGGTCTTTTGCCCCGCAAATGACAGCTGGGCAGAGCCAGCCGTGATCTCACCGCTGGGTCCACCCAGTTGTAATGACAGATCAGCATCCCCAAATTACCTGGGGATGCTGAACTGTCATTAAACAACAACTGGGCTCCTCCCAGTTGTTATTTATTGGCCAGGACCTGCTAGAAGACTCTAGCAGGTCCTGGCCAATAGGCAACAGTTTGGTGGAGCTAGCTGTAACTGTTTTTATTCAACTGTAACTAGCTGTTTTTATTTTTTAATTTCAAATATTTATTAACATTTTAAAGATTTTTTTAACCTTTTTAAAAAAATACTATTTTCAATTATTTGCTATTCTGCCCGGTACCATGGAGGTACCGAGCAGAATAGGCAAGCTGAATGGCGCTGGGCGGCATTCGGCTATTCACTCACTGCCACTCGGCCCCTATGTCGAAGTCTTCTGCACTTCGGCTCAGCCCAACATGTAAAGCATTTTCGGCTGAATGAAGTGCAGCCGATATACGACTGAAATCAGCTGTAGTGAGCCGTAGTGAATAGCCGAACGTTGTTCAGCTCGCTTCACTTCAGCTGGGTTATTCACACGGCTGCCTTCGGCAGCTTTGTGAATAACCCCCTTAGTCTACAAAACTAAAACTAAAATAATTCAAATGACTAAAATACGACAAACTAAAAAATGACTAAAAATAAAATGGCATTTAGTTTTAGTCATATGAATTGTTTAATTTTAGCTTAGTTTTGTAGACTAAATCTCCAGTAGAGACAATTGCAATGTATTTTCATCATAGTTTTAGTCCTATTAACTTAGTGTTTATTTAGTTTTTGTGACCTTTTTTGTGTGAAAGGTTTTAGTCGCCTAAATAAACACTACTGCTCCTTTTGGTCTAGAGGCCAGAATACAGAAGATATACCCACCTGATTCTAAGTCCTGTGGCAATCAGTGCTCGTCTCTCTCTCCCTCTGTTCCAACTGTGGTATGTCCTTCAGAATCCTCGTGTTTAATGCAGGTAAATGGACCTGCATTAGTCGTGATGATGTCAGTTGGTCCTTGCAGTGCTAGGGTAGCCACTACAAAGGTTAATTTTCTTAATTCCTGGAGTTCCTGTTTAAAATTCCTGCCTGATGAAGGGGGTGCCTCCTTGAAACCAGCCAGAGGTAATGCATGCAAGAGACAACAGCTGCATGCAGTCTAACGAGGATCAGTTCCCATGTATTATACAAACAACAGTGAATATTCATCTGAAAGGATACCTGTTAGGCCCCTTAATCATGGATGGTCTGATCGGGTCTGCCTGTAAGTTGTTCAGGCAGATCTGATCGGAAACACAATGTTACTCTATGGGCAGCAGGGTGAAAACGGACATGTGTTCATTTACATGTGATTACCTCCGACTCCGTCTAGGTTCGGAAAAGAAAAAAGGGAACAGTGTTCCGTTTTGGTGGAACTGACCATGACAGATTGGAGGTAATCGGATGTAACACATGTTTACTTACATTCAACTCCCCATAGACCTATCATGGGTCAGTACAGCTCAGTGTTTTCTTCCATCGTTGGAGGAAAAAACTGAACGGACACAGATGTCACAGGAACAAGACACGGATCTCCTGCTGAACTAGAGCTCTGTTCCGCAGGAGATCCGTGCATGGATCCACTGCTGATCAGAGCAGGTAGCACTCGTCTGATAGGTTTCTCTGCTGCAGAATTGTATCCCTTTCTTTACTTAAAGTGACATTAAAGTCAAAAAATGTTTTCCCTCCCCTCAATGTTAATGTTAGCACTTACCTTAAATGATGTCTCTTAATCCGATCTTCCTCTTCTTTTCTGATGTCTTCATCTGTCCCTCCAGCAGTGCGGCTCTCCGATCCAGCGCTGACTCCTCTGTTCTTGCTGGTACTTCGGATCCCAAGGTGTCTGCATGAGCGTGCACGTGTCCATAGACTTACCTTGCATCTCTGCTCGTCTCCCGGCCGAAAATCCGAACTGCGCATGCGCCCGCCCCAAGATGTTTTGCGGCCGCCCAAGCAGTTTCGGATTCTCGGGCGGGAGCACGCTGCGAAAACGGGGTAAGTTTAAACTGCTGTTAAAGCGGCTTTAAAAAAAAAAACTTTTTGCCTATATCTACCGCTCGCTAGCAGTAGATATAGGCAAAGAAAAACGAAGGGTTTAGAAACCCTTTAAGCCCCAACTGTTTGTATCTCGTTATAAAACAAATTGTATAAATATGGAAAAGTAGTTACCCCCTCAATAATTCTTATCTCCCATTTGGTTCTGGGATCCAAGGTGGAAAGCTCCTCGTTTGCATGTTGTTTTAGCTGATCTGATGAGTACGCTTCCTGGAGAAAGTGTGCTCTGTAATAGCCACATACAGTACAATAATTAGATGCAAAAAATACATGTGGGAAATTAGGATATAGCATGTCCAAGCATACACTTAATATTGACTTAGTTATATGATTATAAAGTATAATATACATATACATTTGAGTAGATTTTACAAGTGTTAAATGTTGGAATATTTTCTGGAAGCCATATTGATCTCTAAATGTTTACATTTATCCACACTTAGCAATGAAATACTCATACAGAAGCTGCTCTTTGCTCCCCTCTAAAGGTATCAGACACAGTGACAAAAAGTGGGGAACATTAGAACCTCGGTTAGTTTTCAATTGCTTTCTATGTCTTCCTATTCCAGTGATGCAGGTGGTGCTGATGTCACAGGGACAGGAAACGAGGAAAATATCTCTAATGGTGGTCACAGACACTAATAAAAACCAGGAATAATGTATTCTTCCATTATTAAACGGTTTTGGCTAAAGTTACGCTTTAAGGCTTAGGTTAAAGGTTATCTAAACCCAAAAACAAAAATGTTATTTATAACAGGTGGCCAGTCCTTAGATGAGGTGACTGCTATTTTCTTTTATTTTTTTTTAAACCTGCTATCCCTGAGAATAACACACTTCCTATCCTTTCATATCTCAACTTATTTCTCTACAGAAGGAGCTATGGATGTCACACAGGCTGGACTTTAAACATGTCTGCTTTGTTCATCTCCATCACATGGTGGATTGCTGGTACTATTGGTAATGCTTTGTTTTAAACTCATCAGCAAGTGACAGGGACATTGCATTTCTGGCAAGAAGAAAGATATTTTCTGTGCTTGATAAAAATATTTTTGGCAAACTAATGCAACCACCACAAAGACTGGTAAGCTTATATTTTTGTTTTGAATTTTAAAGTGACATTAAAGTCACAATTATTTTTCTCTTCCCCAATGATGCTTTAAGGACTTACCTTAAATGATGCCTCTTGATCCAATCATCTTCTTCCTTCCACTTGTATTCAGGAGTCCCTCCAGCGCTGGTGCCAGTCTCTGATCCAGCACTGACTGCTGTGTCTTCTGTGTCCCACAGTGTCTGTTTGACGTGCACACTCCCTGCTGCATGCATTCACTTACCCTGTGTCTCCCCTCTTCTCCCCGCCGAAGATCTCTACTGCGCATGAGCCCGCCCCATCATCCTGCTCGGCCACTCGAGCAGCTCCAGATCTTCAGATGGGAGCGAGCAGCAGAGACACAGGTAAGTAATGACCTTTTAGGTAACTTTTTTAATTTTTTTTAATGTTTTGCATTTACAGTATCTACCTTTTTAGTTTAGTTTAGTTAGAGAGTATAGTTCTACTTTAAGTACAAGCATACAGGCTATCTGCTGTGGATTTCTTTTGCAAGCCTTTTTCTGGTGGCAGGCATGTAAATTTCACCCGGCAGTGCAGGGCAGTTAACTATGCAGTTAACTATTGAAGTATGGGAAATGAAGTGGTCCCACCCACCACCCCGCACAGCGAAGATGAGGAAAATAGACTTTTTACCTGATTAGAAAAGGCATCATGTAAGAATCCATCCAAAACTTGCTGTCCTCCTGAGTAAGAGCCATTATTGCTGTATCAGATGGGATTAGTGCAGTTACATTACTTCCAATACGAATCCTGAACTCGGAATACTGTTACAAAAAGCAGATATAGAGCCTATGATTACATACAAATTATATAAATATAATTGTATAAAATATTCCCAAACAGTTATGGAATGGTATGTAAGATGGGTTGATTTTTTTAATATATATATTTGTGGAATTTAAAAGAAAATAAATAAATATTCTTTAAAAAAAATATTCCCAAACAGGCAGAGCTGCTCTAGCACTAATGTGACAGTGCTGAAATGCTTGTTAAGTTATGATTAAATATGTATAAATGACTCGGACAAGACTGCTTGCTGCTTGACAATGCTAGCCATTAATGCCCTTAAAAACTGGTTCATTTATCAAAATAAAAGTATTTATGGGCACCGAGTCTGAAACATTAACAGGAGAAGTTTCTGTAATTCATCAGCATGACTATTCTAGACTCCTACTTCAATCAGAAGTAGCAGCATCACTGGATGTTTGGTGAACATTTTGGAAACAGGAAAATGCTGGAACATCTAAAATTACTAAGGTTCAGTTTATGTATGCCTTGGTTAATAGACACTGGGATCTCAACAGAGATAGCAAACGTATCAATGGCTACCATTCCCATCATGGTGTAGGTCCCAGGTGTGAATCTGACTCAAGAATGGTTTTATCTTCCACGCTTTTCCCAATGCAAAGAAAAACTAGGCAATGAAAAAGCTTGTCATGCTCACACATTAATGATATTTGAGAGGCAGTTCTGCGTATTATAAATGCTAACTTAATGCAACTTCTTCTCTCTGCCTTCTGTGTATCACATTTTTGTGCAATTACAAGTTTACATGCTTGAATCTGATTGGAGGTATGAAATGTCTTTTTGCTGACACTAGGTACACTTGCACAAAGTTTTGAAGGAATTCGGCAGGTAGGTTGTTCCAAACATCTTGAAGAACCACAGATCTCAATCCAGCTGATCCACCATCCCAGCTCTCCCACCCATGCATCTCCCAGTGTGAGATAAGCTCAGCTCAAGGGCATATCCCTGATGAAGTCACATGATATATGACGTAACGCCTACATACTGGGAGACGAATGGCCATACTGGAACAGAAGGCCAACACTAAGCCATGACATGAAGCCATTTTCCTGAGAATGCTTAACCGCCATGAAGTCCTGTTCTATATGTACTTTTTAGACCAACAACAACTAAGCTAAGTGACTTTAGTGTATCCTATTGCATAAAACCATTGCATTGTACTAGAAAGGATTGATCAGTGGGTGCATGTGTGTGTATGTATACATAATTATATAGCATATTTTTATATTGTTTTACTTGTAACAAAGTAGTTTGTGCATGTAGCATTTTTGTATAGTAAAAGTATGTTAAATACCAAATACCAAAACAAATTGCTTTAAAAGTTTGCCTAGCAAAATATGGGCGTGTTTGGGGATAGCTATCACGCATTAAAAAAAAAAGAAGGGTTTTAAGATTGCTGACAAAAGGCACTTGGGTAGACTCTTGCTCTAAAATGTAGAGTCTAAATGATGCCTAGAAAAAAAAAACGGAAGTCCTGACCTAGAGGGCTATATTCTCTGTATACAATTAATGCCTAATTATCAGTTATGAGCAAAGAGAAGTTGTGGGGCCCTTAAGAGAATGTTTTAATAAGGCCCAGAAGAAGTCAACATCTGCCTGAAATAGAACAGCACCCAAACCCATAGAAGCAGCTGGCATAATGTAACAAAAATAGAAACATAATAATACCGTCAACCATTGGCTGAAAATGGACACTTCTGGAATTCTGAGCAGCTCCTAAAAGTGAAGAAAAATAATACGACTATGTAAGTTTAATCCGCTAAATAAAATTATTATAATTACATTTTAAAAAATCAAGAACATGATCCGGCTGTGTTCACCAAGACTGTGTGATAATCTCATGTCTATGGATTCCCTAAGCTCAGATCAGAGCAGCTGGTAATTGGACAGTTTTCAAAACCTTTCCTGATTAATATTATTTTCTCCAGCAGTTACCTCTCCTCACCCCTCTTCTTTCCATTTCCCACCTCTCTTTTCTCAAATTCCCATCCCTCGTTTTCTCATCAGAGCTGACCTTAGAACTCTATGGAGTACTTTGCAGCATTCCGCAAACACCTTACCCTGATGGCTCTTGAATTGTGCCAGCATGAAACACTGTTTTTAAAGTAGCTAAAGGCAAAACCTTTATTTGTCGTTTTGGACAGAGTGGGCTGAGAGTAGCTGCTTATATAATATACAACATGAACAGTTTTACCTACTTTCCTTATACTGGAATAGCTGCAGCAGAGATTACACACTGGAGGAAGAGAAGAGCATCACAGAAGCTAAGCTTTTTCATCTGCGTGCTATTGCAAGCTAAAGAACAGTAACCCCATAGAGACGTTAAAGTAGTATTACATTCTCACAGTTTTTCCACTAATGTACCTAGGCCATACATATGTACATTGCCTAGCAAAGTATTTCTTGATATTTTTGGCTCAGCTTTCCTGAACTTCCTCTTCAGTACAAGATCACAAGGGACAGAGCAGTCTTTAACAGCTGTTCATCTACTAGCTTGGAAAAGGAGAAATGAGGAGCAGGGATCAGATGAGTGACTTGCCCTGCTGTGTCTGTGTGTTTGTGCAGACAGTACACACAATGGTGGCTCCAAGAACCCTGCAAGGGACAGGAGCCACCCTAAAACAGGATATCAGGATCAGAGGCCAGGGGTCACCCGTTCTCTAGACCGGGTGCCCCCCACCCCCGCCGTGTCGTCATCGCATGTGACGTCGCATCGCACATGCGTGACCATCTGATTGATGCCTTCCGGGGGCCATCTTAGTGATGGACGCCGGCAGAGAGAGGAGGGGACGTTAACCCGGCGGGATGAGGTATGCCGCCGGGTACTTTCCTCTCTCCTGACACTGTCAGGCTCTCGGTCCATGACCCAGTGGCCCACTTTTTAGAGGGGGGTGTCAGTCATTTTGGTGTCACCCCTGCAATGGTGACACCCGGGTGCGGGCCCCATCCCCCTTGTGACGCCACTGATCAGCATTTGAAATAACTTAAACATTTTGATCTTAATATTGATTTAAGACACAAACATGTAGATAGCAATTAAATGCAAAATATTCCTTTATGCTCCTGTGGCCCTTTATATGTGCTGAGGCAGTGTTTTTTAATATAGATAATACCTACAAAGTCACTTATCAAGCTTGCATATTAACTGCTTCAAGCCTCTATGGTGCAGTTGAACAATAAGGAAGAACAGTCACTAATGTTATAATGAGGTGGGTCAATAAGATCACCTGGAGAAGATACTTGCTGAATAATAGATGCAATATTTCGCCAGACTATACGTTTATCATTGCAAAAAGTTTTCTGATGGTGCCAGCTGAATTTCCCAAAATACTGTCTTTGGTGGTATGGGGAGAATTGGCACACCCTTCACATCCCACAATAAAGCACTTTGGCCCTCGGTGACCTGTTGCCAGATAAACCACCTTCAGATGAGGGCTGGGGAGAGCACATAAACCTATACAAATACTGACTTTCAGAAGTTTAAAATTTCAAGGGGTGCTATTAAGAGTCTGAAAGTGATATTATAAGTTAAATGCAATAGGCCAGATAAGGCTTGGCACCCTATGATGCATACTGTCTAGCAGAATTTTGGCTTAATACATTATTCTACATTACAGGTCAACTTTCGACTTTCAGTTTCGAATGGTCACTGGCCACGCTCAATAAGTACCTATATCCCTTGTGTATTTCAGTGGTAACATTTTACCACCAAGATTCCCAGCTCCCCCAACAGTTAAACTAAGCCTCCCATTCTAATATTGTACCGAAAAGCTGGAGTTGGTAATTTTGCTGTGGAAGTCTTCACAAATAAAATGAAAAGAATGAATATGTACACTATAGGTTTAGAGAAATTAACTTATACAAACCAATAATATGTCACCATAACAAGCTAGGCCATCCCCTGCGAAACCTTCAGGGCATGTACATGTCCTCTCTCCTCCTGAGGTTGGATTACATTTTGCCTGCAGAAGCATTGCAATAGACTCAGAATAAGACACTAATCATTATATAGCTATAATTAGAGAAATAAACTAAAAATCTTAAATGGTTTTTTAAGTTTTATACTGATATGTTTTCTATGTTACTAATTGGTTTGATAAAATCTTCTGTTTTACCATTAAATCTTTAATAGAGGGTGTTGCCATGACACTGTCACAAACCATTATGTGGTGAGCATTGCAGACACTGTTTGCTTTCAGACTGTCTGTCTGCTTAAAATTTGGCATTTGGGACCCAGCCCAATAGAAGAAGTCATTCCTTTGACTCAATTCAGTTAAACCAAGGAGCTCTGTAAATTATTATTTTTTCAGCAAAGCAGGTAAGGTCAGACTGGTAAACATGTGAACTGAAGCCTAAAACTGGCTGAAAATATGTAAATGTGATTTTGTTTTTTAAATATTTTTTTTTTTCCTGAACACGATAAATGAGAAAATGTACTTTAAGAAACCTTATACATTTTAAAATCTATACATTTCTTTAAACACATGTTACTAATATGGATATTTTGAAAAGAATAGATTTGTTTTATTTTTGGTCAGTTTTTTAATGAAAAAATAAATAAAAATAAATGATAAATAATGTCATTAAATTGCAATCAGGGTGACTTAAATAAAATGTGTTGGTTAATGGGTTCATGCCATTTTCTTCAAAGGCTAGCTCTGCTAAAAGCAGTTTTATCAGTGTGTGGCATGATAAGTTGTGTCACAATATCTCTTATGGATTCTAAGGTTGACATATTTCCACCAGAATTTATTCTATTATAGAATTCAAACTACTGCTGGAAGCCTTGTCATTGAGTGTTTAAATGATACATGCATTTGGCAGGTAATTCCACCTAACAGTGGCTGCCCAGAGCTAAATTAGTGTTGAGTGAAGCTGGCATTTAAATATCTGACAATTTTTACTGTTGACATTACCAACCATTGCGTTGCAGCCGCCATTGTTTTGTAAACATATGTTAACTGGGTCGCAGGAGTACCCATCACCGGCATAGCCTTTCTTACAAATGCAGTCATTCTGTGAAACAAAAATAATTCCTGAAGTAAAAATGGTAAATTGCAATATTTTTTCTAATACACCTGGTACTGAAACTGAATACGCCAGAATATTTTCCTGGGATATTCACCAGTCACATCATCCTTTGACAGGATCTGTGAATGGAGAAACTACAAACCCATCAGCCACTATGGCAGAGGGACTCGTAGCAGCAATGTAATACAAGTGCAGTGACATCACTACACTTGTAGTCCATTGATAATTCCTCCTGTCCCTGTTACTGCATGTTCATACCTCTGTATGAACATGGACAAGAGGAAAAGTCTGCAGGAGTTACAGCATTGCACCTGTGATTTTAGGCACATTTTAAGCGCAATTTATACTTGTGAAAGTCCCCCTATGTAGACATCCAAAAGTCCTAAGTCTGCATCTGGGCACCGACATCTTGGATGTGATGTCATCAGCCCAAGCAGACTCAGAGCTGTGACTTTTGTGACACTGTATAGTATTCACGTAGCTCCTCCCCCTACTGCTAAATAAAAGGTTATGTAGGGAGCTGAGGGGAAGGGCGGAGTAGTTGGTCCAGCATGGACAATAATTAGACACCCCCTAGAAGAGGAGAGGTCTATGACATGGCAGAAGGGAGAAGGCTATGCTTGGGTCTTGACTAGTTAAATTTGCCAGCAAGTTCAGAGGCAGATTGTTAAGAAGAAGTTAATAAAAAAGTGTATTTCTTCAAAATATATTCAAAATATTTCTACAAAATATTGTGTTAACCATTAAAGGACCGTGGGACCACTGTATTGATGGTCTTTCCCATTGAAAAGCCAATGTTTAAAGAGCAGATGGAAGATGATCAAAGTGTTTCAACAGTTGTATAACTGAGAACTAAATGTTGTAAAATATTATATATGAAATAAATAGTTATAAAACCAGTATATAGCCAGATAAACAGTAGTACACATATATTTACTAGTTTTAATAAGCAAACTGCTTACCTTGCCAGGCTGGGTAGAATGACAGTCAGCATCAACATGGCAGCCTCCTCTATCTTCCAAGACACAGTTGTCAATAGGTATACATTCTATCCCATCGCCGCTCCAGCCAGGATTACATTGACACATGACCCCTGTAGGGGCACTGATGCAAATGGCCTACAAGAATTATGTTATGGTGATTAATCACTGCCTTCATATTTATGCTCAGTCCATATCAGCTAGATTTGTTTGGAATAAAAATCATACCTCAGTCTATTTTAATGTACAGCACTGATCAGACTAGATAATCTAGACACTTCTGTTTTCAGGTGATAAGGACATAGTGCTCAGGCAGACTTTTACAAGCTGCAAACAGAAAGCCAACTCCTGTGTAAGTCTTCTCTACCCAACATGCCTCAGTTTTGTGGAAAAGTCATACCAAGGGCAAGCAATAACACAGAGGAGTGGGACCTGTGTTCCTCAATAGACTCCAAGAAATACATTTTATGGCAAGTACAAAAGTCTTATTTTCTTTCTCACACATTGAAGGACACAGGATAGAGCAAACAGTTGGGATGTCCAAAATCAGTTCAACTGGGGTGGGCATCAGCTACTGGCAGGCCCATAAGAAGGCTCTGGAAACTGTCTGCAATTCAGGACTACCTGAAGGGCCAATGCTTGAATATGAACCAGATGGTGTGAACCCCCTGCAAGACAGGGGAAACTGCCAAGAACCAAGGGAAGATCACAGAGGATCAACCTGATGCTTCAGGTCAGGACAGAAGATAACACCACAAAAGGGAACACTCCAGCCAAAGCAACACTAAAGCTAGCTATACACCTATAGATTTTCTGCAGATTTTCTATGGACAGATGGAAAAAGTGCAACAGATTGCTCCATCTACACTAAACTTTATGGATGGAGGAATCTACTGCTGGGCCAAGCTTCAGTATCTTGCTAGTCAGCCCAGCGGGCTGTCAAAATACCTTAACAATCTGATTGGATGCAGGCATTGTTCATGTGTTTTGAGAGCCAGCGGAGCCAACTAGCAAGATACTGAGATTGCTCCATCCACACAGTTTAGCGTAGATGGAGGAATCTGTTGCACTTTTTCTATCTTACTATAGAAAATCTGCAGAAAATATATAGGTGTATGGCCAGCTTAAGCCTGAACCAGGGAGAGGCTCTGAAAAAAAGCCCATAAAGCAGGTGGAAACAATATAACGACCTAATAAGGAAGAACAGACCAACAATGTAATGTGGTCAACAAAAAAAACAAACAAAACTTGGACAAGTCTCCAAAGGGAACCTTAGAGAAAAACAGGTCCACAAGAGAAGACCAGCCGCTCTACATTGGAAGGCCCAAGTCTTACAACCTCAGCCCTTAGGATCTAGGGAAGAGAGGTTCAGTGATAAGAATTAGGTTTTCTGGCTACACTCACAGGATAATATTCCATAAGGATAGCTAAGGGACCCTTTGAGAATGGTACAGGCACTACTTTTTTAATTGCACGGCACCACAACGCAATGCATGGTATTGCTGTACTGTGTGTTGCGGCATGATCGATCGCATTGTGGGTGAGAGGTGCACTGTTAACGCACAGTAGGTGAGTTGCGCGGTATGGTGTGTTAATCGCACGGAACAATGCGATTAACGCATAATACCAGCGTGAATGGGCCCTCATACTTTTTTCAGGAGAGGAAGAAAAAGCATCCAACCTCCTGTAGGTGACTGTGTCACATTTAATTATATAATACAACTGCCCCTGAAGTCTTGTGTCCCTCAATGGCCAAGAAAGAAATGTATGTTTCCCATTTCCAATAATATTTACTCACATTCTCCGAACATCCCCCTCTTTCCGGCTTCTTGCAGTCATCTACAGGCTGACAGGAAGTTCCATCTCCTTCATATCCATTCTTACATTGACATCTAAAGGACATATAACAGAGGAGGTAAGGTTTGATTACATTTACCTAACAAACCATGAAAAAAGGGGCTATATAAATACCTTTATAATTATAGTAATTCAAATTGGGAATGCTGCCCTTATTGTGGTAGCTGCTAGAGTAACAGTAGATGTCTTTCTTTCTAATCGTGTATACAAAAACAAAACAAAAAACTACCCACAATAGACACTTAGAAACAGTTATTACCACAGTTGCTACAAAATGTATTTGTTCATACTTTACTGCACATAAGGTGTAAAATGTTTACTGATGACAGAAGTATTTTGTTGGTTGGAAAACAGGATCTAGGAAATTTTTCACTCTTTAATCAAATATTGTTTTGTAGACTTATGACTGCAACAACTGCACACAATTGTCTTTAAACCTTGTTTTTACAGCTATTTCACATGTTAGAATAATTTATCCAAGTATTTGAAATAAGGACTGTTTGTGATGACATTTTTTAAAGCAGGGCTAAAGTTGGAGGAATGTATTTTTTAGATACTGGGATATATCCAGCTCCCAGGATTTAAATGCTGTATGCTGCTGTCAAAACACTGTGGTGCCTAAATTGGTGCTTTACATGCGCAGGCCCAAGGTCCTTTCTGCATGTTAAGAGACTGATATATAAAACAGAAAATATTCAGATTTGTGCTACTCCCATTCAATACACATAATGACAATACAAATATTACCTGGTGTTGCCATCAGTAGATACGCAGACTGCATTTAAATGGCAAAACTGTGTCACATTTAATGATTTGCACGGCTCTGAATGCTGGTCACAGAAGTCTCCAACGTAATCATCTTTGCATCGTCCACCCTGACACACCCCTTTACTCCCCGGGCGGTTATCACATGTTCCATGGACGCACCTGCAGTCTGTTTGAATATTCCCACAAAGAACAGAAGGTATTAGGCAGAAACAAAGAATATGGACATTAAAGTCCAACGCCAGAAAATACTTTCATTATAGAAAGGAGATGTAAGGAAATAGAATATCTGTCAACTTTTTTTGTGTCCCATTTGAGAGATTTCTCATCACATCCGTTCTTTTTGACTGATTCAGATTAAAGGATGCGAGGGAAAATTTCCCAACATCCACCCTATTTGATGGGTGGCAATGAGAACAAAAAGTAAGTGAGGGCAGCATTGAAAACAAATATTCTCGTAGTCCGATTTTTTAATTTGATTTCATGGAAGAATTATTCAACCTGATTATTGATCAGACAAACCTTTATGCCCAACAATTTAGAGCCAGTAACCCAAATTCATTTTATGCCCAACTATTCGAGTGGAAACACATCACGGTTTCAAAATTTAAAATCTTTTTGGGCCTGACTCTTAAAGTGAAATTAAAGTCAACATTTTTTTTTCTTTTTCTTTTTTCATTTTCCAAACCATGTAGCAAAAAAAATAAATTGAATCTTTAAAAGACTCACCATGCCTCTCAGAAAATACCCTTTCTAAAATGTGGTCATTTAGGGGTGTTTTTGTACTGTCCTGGTATTTTAGGGCCTCAGAAAATGTAATTTCCACCTCTTGAAAGCCTGAAGGTGCTCCTTGTATTTTGGGCCCCTCTATGTGGCTAGGCTGCAAAAAAGTCTGACACATGTGGTATCTCCATACTCAGTATGAGTAGCAGAATGAGTTTTGGGGTGTAATTCTAAGTCCATGCTGTGTGCAAAATGACAACTTTGTGTAAAAAAAACCCAAAAAACTAAATACATAGTTACATAGTATTTGAGGTTGAATAAAGACATTAGTCCATCAAGTCCAACCTATTAGGATCTCATTCTAGGAGTACCTGTACCCCTGTATATTACGGTCCCTTAAGAAATTGTCCAAAAGTTTCTTGAACAATTCCACATTATTTGCTGAAATCACCGCCTGTGGCAGTGAGTTCCAGACCCTAACTGATCTTACTGTGAAGAACCCCCTTCGCCCCTGTAACGCTTGCCCCCAGGGGCACAACGTTCTTGGACCGCAGCTGTGGTTCTGGCTTCCCTTTCTGGAGGAACGGGTATCAGATTGCAGCTCTCCCTCTGATGCCGTAATGTGGATAAGGCTAGGAGGGAGCTGCTTCACATCACGCCCCGTTAGCAACCTGTTAGCACTGTGGATCAACAACAGGGTAAGTATGGAGGGTAGGATAGTGAGCAGGTATGGTAGTTCAAGTTAAGAATAGATTGGTAGGTAGTTAACTGGTATCAGGCAGACAGGTTCATAGGCATATGACTTTAGGCAGAATCACTTGCAGCAAGCAGACAATGCACATAAGCGTATGGTTAGGAGGTAGTTAATTGGTATCAGGCAAACAGGTTCATAGGCATATGACTTTAGGCAGAATCACTTGCAGCAAGCAGACAATGCACATAAGCGTATGGTTAGGAGGTAGTTAATTGGTATCAGGCAAACAGGTTCACAGGCATATGATGTTGAGGAACAATAGCTGGTAGCAAGCTGACAAGGCACATGCAGTAAGCATAGGATTAGTAGGTAGATAACTGGTATCAGCAAAACAGGTTCATAGACATATGATGTTGAGGAAAAACAGCTTGTAGCAAGCAGACAGTTCAATTTGCTTTGAGGGAAGTGCTGTGGAGTTCTCTATCATAGCCATACAGCTATGGCTGGTATACTTGCAGTTCTGTGGAACTCTAAATGGGAGAGGGTCTCTGCAGCACTCCTTTCCTTTGCTGGTGTTGGGATCCTGGAGCAGCAGGGGATGCTGGTTTGATCAGCGTCCTGCTTCAACAATAGTGGGACGCCGATCAAACGGTGGACCGCGGCTTTATGCCGGGTGTTCGAGCGAGTGGGCGGAGTCTTGCGGCGCGCCTGCGCAGTGACAGCGACGGACGCTGTCCGAGAGTGGGAGGAGCAACACGGCGCGCCTGCGCAGTGGCGCGAGTGAATCGCTTTCCCGGCCGGGGTGAGATACGCTTGTCACAGCCCCTTGTGTTGGAATTTTTTTTCCCTTTTTGAATATTGGGACTACCGTAGCCCTCCGCCAATCCATTTCCATTTTCCTTTTTCAGTTTCCAAAACCTTGTAGCAAAAAATAAATAAATTGAAATCTTCAAAAGACACACAATGCCACTCAGGAAATGTGGTCATTTGAGGGGTGTTATTGTACTAGTATGTTAGGGCCTCAGAAAATTTTATAGTAGTCAGGAAATCAGATGCGTAATGTACACCTCTTAAAACCTCTTTGGATTTTGGGCCCCTCTATGTGGCTAGGCTGTTAAAATTGTCACCTCATACTTGGTACAAGTAGCAGAATGTGCTTTGGGGTGTAATTGTAAGTATGCCAATGCTGTGCATGAGAAATGTGCTATGAAAACGACAAGTTTGTGTAAAACAAAATCACATTTCAAAAAATTGTGGAAAAGTTAGATCTGCAAAAGCATGTCTCTTACTAAATTCATTGGGGTGTTTACTTTCTAAAGAGGGGTCATTTAAGGGGTGTTTATACTCTCCTGGCATTTTAGGGCCCTTAGGAAATGTGAAAGGGAGTCAGAACACCAGGGCTGAGAAATCTCAAATATTTGAATTATATATACCATAGTTTGTAGACACTATATCACGCACACACAGACTAAATATTATACACACATTTAGATTTTTTTTTTTACAAAAGAAATGTAGCAGAATACATTTTGGCCTAAACCTAGGAAGAGTGATTATTTTTTTATATGTTGCATAACAGAAAGTAAGAATAACAGGTTTTTGTTTTTATTTTAGTTTTTTTTCCATGATATCATAAAAAATAAAAAACCCAGTGGTAAGTAAACACCTTCAAAAGAAAGCTCTGTCTGCAAAAATGATACTAAATTAATTTTGGTACAGTTATTAGGCAGAGAAATTACGGTGATGAAAACTGAAAAATGACCTGAGAAAAGGAGGGGGGGTCAAACATGCTGACACCAAGGTGGGTAATTAGGATTCCTATATAATGTGAACTTGTTTGTCAAGGTTCATACTCTTTGGTAAAGCACTGTGAGCAACTCTATATGTGTAAAGCTGCCCATACACCTTGCGATTATCGTACGATAATCGCGGGAAATCCTGCAATCGTACGATAATCGCAAGGTGGATGGAAGGCGTGCGACCGTTTCTACTGTACGGTCGCACGTCTTTTGTCGAAGGAGCATGCTAGAAAACCCGCCAAGAATCGTACGATTGTCGGCGGGTTAGTGGCGTGCTCGTTCGACAACTCCGGAACGGGCCGGTGTGCGCAAGCGCACACTGCCCGTTCACCATTGCAGTCATCGGAAGCCCGCCCCTCAGCGGGGCGGGCTTTTGATGATTGCAAGTATGATCTGCCTGTCCAAGATGGGCAGATTGTACAAGCTTTTAATTAGCTTACAACCATGGCATGTCTTGCCATGGTTGTAAGGTGTATGGGCACCTTTAGGCCATGTATTTCTGCCTGCGTGAAATAAGTTTTACTAATTTGGGAGAGTTGAGCACACATGTGGGCTGATTTATAAATGCTATGCACGATGTAGATGCCGTTCACATTGCAATAACACCCCTAGAAGGAGCTGGGGAGCATAGGAAACATTGATAAATCAACCCTATGGTGTCTGAAGAGGAATGATCTGCCTTAACGGTATAAATTACTGACAATCCTGCAATCCTTACATAGTTACATAGTATTTGAGGTTGAATAAAGACATAAGTCCCTCAAGTCCAACCTATTATCCTATCTCACGTTCATTGAACTTACTGGAAAGAAAACAACATTCTGAATTTTAAATACAATTAGGTATCCGTTCAAAGTATCAAATAAACAGTTTAAAAGAACTATCGAAGAGTCACAGATTTTTCTCACCCACCTTCTTCACATTCATCTCCATGTTTATTTGGATCAGAACAGATGTGGCAAGCAATTCCTTTATATTTCTCAAAGCATACACACTTCCCATTCCCACGAATGCCACTATTGCACTGTATGAAAAATGAAACATCGCATTGTAATGAGCATTGTATGCAGTCACGGTCTTCAAATTTTGGTGAATGTGTGAAATGAGGAAGGAAGGATAATTAAAATGGAAGGTGAAGGTTCGCTTTAAAGGATAACTGCACTTCTGTTTTAAAATAAATATTGCAGTGAGCCTAGAACCCTTATTAATTTAGTGATATACATGCCATATCTTTTCCCATATAAATTAAGATTTGCCATGTTTTGCCCGTTGCCAAAATCAACGAAAATGGTGGCCACTGATATCATTACTAAGTGACCATTCAGGCTCCTATGGATGAACGAGTACACAGGAAGTACTCTCTTATTCTCTACAAGTCCCAGCATTCTCTGCACCTAAGAAAACACAGCAAACCAATGAGCTAACAGGTGGGTGGAACAAACCAAAGGGAAGCCAATCGGTTGAAACTCAAACAGTAACAAAATCAGCTTGCTTGCTTACTTGGTGTTGTCAGGAGATTCAGCAGCAATCAGATAACAGGTGGGTGGGGTAACAAGAGGGAGAGTGGACAGGACTGAGTTTTTGCAGGTGATTTGAATGTTGGGACTTGTAGTACAAAGGAGAGCACATCCTGTGTCCTCGTTACACCATAGAAGCCTGGGTGGCTTAGTGATGATGCAAGTGGCCTCCATTTGGTCAGTTGTAGTGAAGTTAGGCAGACCATGGCCAAATCTTAGTTTATGTAAAACATATGTATAGAATTTATATTGCTGATTTGAAAAGTGTGCTAGGCCCATTATAATCTTGCTTTTAAACACAAAGGTGCAGTTTTTTTTAAACAGGTGTTGCTGCAGCGCACTACACCAAACTAATGGGGAGGGGGGCCTGAGGATGTACACTCCTACTGCCCACCTACAATCCCTGTGAGGTGGTCTGTGTGTTCTGTGACTACAATAGATTATCGAGAACTAAACAAAAAGTACATTGAGTGAAGCTTCTGGTTTTAGCATAGTGGAATGCATTAGTGTCTCATGAACTGATTCTATTTGCTGCCCAACCTCTGCATCCCTCTTCCTACGCTGCCCACCTCTTCACCCCATGAAACCTTTTTCTAATGCTTCTCACATTTGCACCTCCCTCCCTACACTGCTCACCGCTGCATCCCTGCTACGGGGCACAGAGGTGAGCACTGTAGGAAGAGAGACGCAGAGGGTACAGAAGTTAACAGTTTTGGAAGAAGGTTTGATGGCTGCCACCTTCTTCCAACACTTTTAACTTCCACACCATCTACATCCCTCACCTTACACTGCTGACCCCCTCCACTACTCTATGTTGAGCTGCTCACCCCCTGCAGGTTACCACATGGTAGGACTCCCACTTCCTATATCATGGGCTGTGAGCAGTGCAGAGGGGCAGAGCCAAATGTGCTGAAAGTTACGGGTCCTTCCTGCAGCTGATCAGGACAGTCCAGTAGGCAGAAGGGACTCTGATAGGTATGCCCAGCGGATGGTCTTGTCCATTTTCCATGGTAACAAGCTGATTGACAGGCTCCTCCGCTCCTTCTATGCAGAGGAGCCTGGGTCCCTGTAGGGAAGGAGCCTGCCAATTAACTTGTTACCGTGGCAAGTGGGCGGGACCATCCTCCTTCATTACAGGCAGCCCATGCTGGGTTTGGGCCCCCCTTGCTGACTTGATTGGGCCCACCCAGTACAGGAAGGCTGCCTGTACCATCCTGTTGGCAGCTCTGGTCACAGGTTCCTTCCTGGCCACGGGCCCTCAGGCAGTGTCCAAGTACCCGAATGGTCAGTCCTTCTGAGCTCACTTTCTTAGCTGGGTGGGTCTGCTTCCATAAGTCTGTACAGTACAATTTACTCTATTTGGTGTATTACCAATCATATTCAAAATCCAAGGCAGGTTTATATCTGATTGGTGGCAGCAATTAACCTTTTCAAACTTACACTTTAACATTTTACAATTCCTATATGTAGGATAGCTCAGCGAAACTACTACAATGGGTTAACAGAAGGACTTTCCAGATCACTAGATTACTGACAAAAGGAAGTAATTATACACTGAGCATATATCTGGATGAAAAACTAAACTGATGCCTTTAATAAGTGGGTTCTATGTATGCACTTAAGGTTTTGTTTTTGCAGTTTACTTGTAACAATCTATAATCTTAAAAAAAGAAAGAAGAAATTTAGAACTATTATCATCAACGTGTGTTCATTGCTAATTGTGTTTATTCATTTCTTTCAATTCTGATGTACTAATAAGAAAAAAAGTATCTCAACACTTACACTGCCACGTCCATAACACGGGTTATAGAATCCTGCAGGACAAAGTTTGCAATCTGGACCAAAGAAACCATGACAACACCCAAGCACCTACAACAAAATATTTAATTTTCAGCAACCAAGTTCTATGAATGATTGAGCTAAACTGAAGCTTTGTTATGGATGAACAAATATACAGTAATCCAATAAATTAGATTCCATTGATTATTAGCAATATTTTTTTGTGTGTGTAGATTTCTACCTATTTGGGTTCTTTAGCTATGTGCCAATGCAGTTGATGACATTTTTCAAGATGGGTTCTAAATGGTAGAGTCTGCATTAACACTAAGAGTCATTCACACCTTGGCATGTATTGACATGTGCCATAGTGAAGTTGTGATCAGTTCTGCTGTATTGAGGTACCATTTATATTGCCATTTAGGAAAAGATTTAGTCCAAAGTGAAGCCCTAGCCTTAGATGTCAGAATCTCACAAAATTGTGGTAAATTACCTCATTAAGGCAACCCTGTCAGTCACTTAAACATTGAGCAAAACATCTGCAGAGTCTTGTAGTGGCATAGGGGTCGGAGGATGGTGCCACCATGCTCCAACGGGGACACAGGCATCAGACACTCCCGGAAATGTTAAATGCCAAAGAGACTGCCATAAGTTGCAGTGCTGTAATTGAAGTAAAGTAGGAGACAAGGGCCACCGGAGAGGTGAATTTAAATTACAACTGAAGTCACAATTTTTTTTTTCCGTTTTGGATAGATTGGAGAGGGATTAAAACATCTGTAAGGTTTTTATTGCTGTCTATGTTAGGGAGATTCACCCTTTCTATTTGTACTGGTGACTGGTACAACTGAACTGGAAAAGCCCATATTTTGGGCTGTCACCAGAACAGGCATAGATGGGAAATCTTCCAATGAGGACACTACTTCTCGTGACCCTGCTGACCACCAGGGATTTCCCTCTCTTTGGAGGGATTTCCTCTCACTTTCTGTTGTGGCTATCGGACAGGAAGTGAAGGGAAATCTCCCCAATGGTATACAGCAAGCAAAAAAAGCAACAGGGGTTATAATCCTCCCTTACTTTACCCAAAAGTAAAAAAAAAGTTTGGCTTCAGTTCTGCATCATTTAAAAAATGATGAAAACTTTTCAGTGGTATTAGACAAATGGGTAAATAACATCATAAGTTGCACTCCAATAAGTTTTGTAGTTCTATATAAAGATGTAAAAAGCAAACACTCTATTTCTTATATCGGCTGATTTAAAAAAAGATGAATATTTTTAAGCAGGTAACATTTTAATTTTTTTTAAAGTCGAACTTCAGGTAGTTATAAAAGACACTAATGAATGCAGTTATGTATTATTTATTAAAAACATATTATTACATTTTAAAACCAACTAATGTAAACACCTGAATTTTACTCAATTAAAGCCAATCACCTGACTGGTATGGAGAGGGACAGAACCTGAGCCAATCAGGTGTCCTGCATGCACATGGACAATGAACAAGGAAGATGCTGACAGAAGAGAGCAGAGGGATTACCTAATCAGACTGCTTCTTCACCAGTCAAATGTTGGAGGTAGGGAGGTGGCCTAGTTGTATTGCTTAATTACATTAAAGTCTGGTCACTAGGTTGGCTGTGCTGTGTGACAGAACCGGATTAACAAATCTAATTTATTAATCCTCCGATTAACAAATAGAGTTAGAAATACAAATCCTTTGTCTCGTAAAACAGGTCCTATGTGTAGTATTAAAAGATGTATTTAGCTGTTTGCCTGGAGCCTCAGCTTTAACAATGTTCTATTAAACATTATGATTCAATGCTTCATACAAATTTAAAAAGTTGTATAAAATAGCAAATTCACTATTGCTAATGCTAATATCTTGGCACAGAAAATATTTTCTAATTCAAGAGGGCTACAAGTGACCTTTGATAGTTCTGAGAAGAATTTATATAATTGTAGTTAAACCCCTACAGGCCACTTTCATTACAGATTAGCTGGCATAAATGACAGATTGCCCCTCTTCCCAAGATCCATTTTAGCAACAATGTTGTTGCCTGTAATGAAATATAATGTTTACATAATAATGGCATTCTGGTTATATTGGTACTTACAACAATTGTGCGGCTGCAGTTTCTGGAACAGCCCGTTCTACGAGTGCCATTATTAGCAAAGCTGCATTCCCTGCCAACTATACCCTGCAGATGTAGGTGAAAAAAATCATTAGGCTCAGGAAACATAAAGAAACAAACAGGAACAATTTAGATATACTGTAATCAGTGATGCTTATAATTAATGACCCTTCAAGGTTGTACATGCATTATGTCTTCAGAATGGAGCAGGTAAATATGTATTTTTTTGACTCATGTTCTCTGAAAGGGAACCTGTCATGAGAGAGCTTCCAGCTGATCAGAAAAGTCATAGAAAAGTCAGAAGTCCTTATTTGCATAGCTGCTCAGGATCAGTGTATTTAAATTCTCACCGTATAGAACCACAAATGTTGGAACCACTATTAGCAGAACATATAACAGGCCAACCAAGTATCTGTCTAAGATGGATTTTTCTAGCAATATGCCCTCCAAAAAGATATATATATGTACACTGATGTTCAAATGTTCTATTGATAAAGTAACTCCTCTGTTAGGGGAGGTATAGCGTTTGAAATTATGGAGCAAGTGTGTCCCCTTGAAAGTGAGTCATTTTATATTCAATGCATTTTCCTTTCTGAGACAGACACTTCAATTCCAGTGCATTTATGAACCTATGTAGATTGCAGGTATATAACCCCCCTTGCGTTTGTTGCATATCTCTCAGGTAAGTTCACATAATTCTTAAGACTTTTTGCTTTTCATCCTTTCCACTGTTATCAGATGTTTAATGTTGGGTAATGTCAGATTTAATGATTGATTCAGTTGAAGGACATTGCAGTCCTAAAGTGAAATCCCTGCCTGTCTATGGCCAGTCTAACAGCTCTGTAAAGACAAAGAAGAGACAAAAGTTCAACATTATATCAGCAATGCACATTAATGGGCATCACAGCTGGCATTATTGGCACTTGGTGATATCTGGTCCTAGTCCCCTACAGTATGTTCTGACCAACAATAAAAGAACTCTCGTACTACAAGAAGCATAAGGTAAGGGTTCAAATTGTTCGTGGTATATTCCAAGAGAGAAAAAGCTCTTCACATAAGAGAAATGTTTTCAAACCCTGTGAACTTTGAATCAGACTACCGCATATTTATTTTTAGTCTCACACCAGAAACAAAAAACAAGTTGTGTAAGATGTGCTTTCTGGTTCCTTCCATATAAAACCACAATTCTCTGTCCTGTGTGCTTTGTTATTTTTACAAATGCATAAAATGATGTTATTGAATTGACTAAAGCTCATTGCATATTTGGGAAAGGTCATAAAACGTACAACACTGACATAAAAACTAGAACTTTTTTGGGCTTCTTTATCCTTCTTTGTAACATCATATGTGGCTTTTAACTGGTATTTATGAGACCCCTTAAAGAGACCCCGTTAGGGGTCGAGAAAACTTGGAGCAGCAATATCCTGTGAAAAAAGCTTTATACTTACCGTGGCTGGTATTCTGGAATTCTTGTACAGAGCTCCCAAAGCCAATACTATCTTAGATCTCTAGTGGGTCTAATAAAAAAGTTCCCCCTGCCTGGCTACTGTGGTTCCTTCCTCTGATCCAAAGTCACTGAATGACACAGTAGTGACATAGGGGCAGCTAAAGCAACTAAGGCGGCCAGCGGGGACATGCTATTCCCTAGACCTGAAAGTCTGGGATAGTATCAGCACACACAAGATAGCAATGTATAAAGTATTTGAGTATGCGATTATAAAGCTGCTTCTTTCACAGGCTATTTCTGCTTATTTTTTTTTCACTCCCTTACAGGGTCTGTTTTCAGTGATGCACTTGCAAAATAGATTAGCTTGATGTAAATAAACATCATAGATAAGTGAACCTGTGCCCAGGCTATGCACACTAAACTCGTTATATATTCTGAACAAGCAGCAAAATCACTTACCTCTGTAACTATAGACATTGTGGAGAAATTCAGCTTTAAAGTTCACAACAAAGGAATTGAAATCACAACTTCATTCAATTTTACTTTCTATGGAAGCAGAATCTTGGCAGTCCTCTAAGGTAAATAACCAGTAAGTGTTTCTAAACTGTTAGAAATTCACTAAAACTAGACCTTAGAGTATTTGTTGTAATCTTAACCACCTCCTGTCCACCGAACGTAGCAAAATGGCCGGACAGGAGCCTTATAGATGCGGGTGGGCATCTTTAACCGTCGTTTGAGCCCGCGCAGCCTGGAGCACACGAACGGGAAACTGTCAAAATTTGAAGCAACCAGTGTTGGCTGCTTACATACAAGCGGTCCGGCGTCTGTAGAGACGCCCGATCGCTTGTATGTTGTGCCTTCGTGAGTCCCCACCTCCGCTGCCGTTCCCGCGATCGTGCGGGACCGAGACCGGCACTGTGGCTCTGCGCAGGGAGAACAGAGGGAGATCAGTACACGATCTCCCTCTGATCTGCCCTCCGATGTTGTGAGTGCGTAAGTAGTGTTGATTACTTCACTTCTGCATTCAGTTGTCACTCTCCGGGTACAGAAGCCGGAGAGAGAAGATGGGGAAGCAGATCTCTGCTTCATCAGCTTCTTTGGGGGTCCCTAGTTGACATTAGGGGCTTAGAAAACCCTGATGTCTCCATAAAGGAGACCTGTCACTGTAATTAAAAAAATAAAAAATAAAAAATAAAATTGAAGTACCCAAAAATATTAAAGTCAGACAAAAAAATAAAATGTTTAAGTCCCCCACCCCCACATACAAGTGCAAACATGCATTGGGTGTGCCTGCGTGCGAAGACTGGTTTTGTTTTGTTCATAGACTGGACCCAGGTGCACTTTAATGTTTTCAATATCTTGTTGCTGTGTATAGTGAATAATTATGAACGAAATGGGGGTAGCAATTCTTGAAGCTTTCTGGTTTGCAGTGCTACCTATTGCTTGTGCTCTACTGCCCCTTATTACAATGTCAGAGTCTATATGTCAGCCGACTCACTAAAAACAAACCACTTCCTATGTAATGCATATGTTACTTCCACATATGGTAAGAGAGAATCAGAAGTCATAGGAAGTCATAACTTTAAAGTGAACACTGCAATAATAATGTACGACGGTGGACACATATTTCTGCTTAGCTTTCATTCCCGCTGTTTCATTTTCTTTTTCTCAGTGTATGAATAACATATTAATGCACAAAACAAGAAAAATCTTTTTCATTTACCAAGTCTATGGTACCGTTTGGACATGGAGCAATGGAGTCACAGTTGGAGCATGGACCCTGGAAATAATTAACATGTTATTCAGGAAATGTTCAACTTATTTTATACCAAACTATATATGAAACTAAACATATAGCACTTGTGTAGTTCATACTTTGCATGTATTCCTAACAAGAGCACAGGTTCATTAAAGCTGACCATACACCATACATCTGACTGTACAATCTCTTTTAGATCTTCCTACAAATGTGTGTCTTCATATAATGTAGTTCTAAACTATCAGAGGGGGTGACACTCATTTTGGGTGATAGTAATTTTGGTGTCATTCCCTCTTAAAAGTCAAGCACTCGGTCATGGACCGAGAGCCCAACAGCGGTATAAGGGGAGCCAAGATGGACAGTGAAGTCCATCACTGAGTATGCGTGATGGCGTCACACCACAAATGTCATAATGCATGCACGGCGGCCGCACCGGGTGACACCCCCCCTGCTGCTGCTTCTATTCACTCCCTGCGGGCTGAACAAGAAAAATCAACTCTCCAATCCACGCTAAACAGCATGGATGGGGGTGGTGTTGCCCCCCGCCTTTGCTAGTGTATTGTGGCAGTGGTGGGTGTGCCACTGTCAGAATACCCCAACAGTGATTGCAGCTGATTGGCCGGAGTCGCCATTTGGACAAGAATTTTCAGACCGGTTTCTACATTAAAGAGTGTCAGCACAATTTTAGAACATTGAGCACTGTATGACCAGATCAAGGCAGCTGTCATCAAAATCAAAAGAGTACAAAAAAAAAGGACTCATGGCTTTATGACAGCAATAAGGTGACACTTACTTGCCCTTTAGTGGGGATCTGAACTATTATTGCATCAAAATAGTGCTTGCAGCATTTTGATCGCACCGGACCGCAGGCACAATGTGCCTTGCGATCTCGTGTGGGCGATCGCATTGCGGCCAGAGGGCGTTGCTATGGTGCCATTCACTTCAATGGCCCACCAGGCCCCCTCCTGCCCCACTAAAAAGTGAGCCAGCCGCAATGTGAGGCAGTGCGTTCTGGCCAGAATTGGGCTGGAACGCACTGCAACTAGTGTGAACGGGCCCTTAAACCAGCAGATAGCACTGCCATGAGTTCAGGGACATGCGTTATGTTCTATGGAGTAGCAAAATGGCATTTGTTTACAAAGCATCTTTAGCAGATTATTTTTTTTTTTTGCTTTTTAATAAGTTGCTGTATTGGTGACTGTAAGGAATTGGCACCTTTTAATATGGGGGATATGGCTTTGTTCATCATCTTAAGCCCTAGCATGTAACCCCAGGCATATACTGTAAAGTAAATCAGTATGCAGCAGGAAAGATTTAACAAATCACGGCACTATAAAATGCCTTTTAGGATAAGCCTGTGTAATGGAATTTTGAATGACTTAATTACCTGTATTATTTCTTCCAGTGTCTCGTTGCATTTAGATGGCAGAATTGGCAAAATGCCAGACGGTATTAAAATTCCATCAAGCACGTGAATTACACCATTAGAAGCAATTATGTCGCTATGAATAAGAGGGATTCCTGGGTCTCCAAACAGAATTCTCCCCTAACAAAAGATTAAAAAGATCCGTTTGCATTAATGATCTTAAACATTGTACAGAATGGCAAAGGGTGAAGTGTCATTCAGATACAACAATCACATATCATGTCACATTCTCCTGGCAATTGTCACTTAATACAATAGATATATATTCTGTATAAAATACAACTGACTGCATTTACTAAGATGGATGAGTTTTTTAGTTTTGTTATATTATTTAAAAAAAAATCACAAAAATGACCTGTTCACAATAATAGAAGTACAATAGTGAATTGATGCCTCAGTGGTCTCCGGGTGCAACCTCTCCCCCTTTTTTAGGTTATACCATTTGCAACAACATATAGAAAGAATGGGGTTTTGTTGAGAGGTATAACACCAACACTTGATTCAATTGATATAAAAAATATTTATTTTACACATATACAGCATAAAACCATGTATACATTACATTGAATACAACCTAAATCGAATAACATTTTAGGCAGAAATTAAAAAACAAATTGCATCCTAGCTCCAATTCATCTTGTTAGGCATTATATTCAGTAGGGAATTCCATGTATCCAGTCCCTACGCGTTTCGCATATTGCTTCCTCAGGGGAACATGGATCTATCTAATAAGAAATGTATATGTATTTAATCTTAAATTAATTCATCTAAGTGATACAGTACAAAAATCAATTTTGAAGTCTACACACCAGAAAGAACTGTGCTCTTGGCGGCTCCGCCGGACAGAGGGACACCCATCACCATCGTCACCCCCACACCCAAACACCTCTCACTTACCACCCAATGGGATTCCCAGATGCAAACAGGATTCCTCAGATAGAGTGTTGATAGGGATCGAAATCGCAACGTGACCACTCCGTCCGGGGGTCAATTTGGGGGCCCTGGGGCTACAAGAGGGGGCGTTTCAGGACACTATGGGGATACTAATATGGGCACATCACAGTAAAAGAAGCACTATTTAAAAGTAAGCTTATATAACGCTGGGAAGTGGGAGTATGTTCTATTCACTCTCAGTGGACTTGTTCACTTAATTCACTCCTATGAATACTTTGATATGATTACACACTTAGAGCAATGAATATAAACATACATGGAGGGAACACGGGAAGGGGTATACACCCCTTCCCATATATAGTAAAAAAAAAAATATTTTATATAT